TTAATCAATAGTTTTCAGATTAATCGAAATCTCAAACGGGCAAGTCGTCGGCGAGCCACAGCCTGTGATAGCTCGGGTAGAAGAGACGACGGAGGCACACGAGTAATAATATGATACCAAAAATATGATTCTTTTTGAATACACCTCATTATAATTTTTGTGATTACAATGTCTCTGTGATTAACTTGATCCTGATTTTGACCTCTTTCCCCTCACCTTCCTGCAAATTGGCAAATTCACTTACCGACCCCTTACCCCCCTACTTACGACGATGATCTGCGTGCTCAACCAAGCCTTTCTGTACATATGCATAAATCTGTTGATTTTTACGTGAAGTCTTTTGCGCAACGCTACGCTTAGATACGCATGATGACGAAACGCTAAGCTACAGTACGGCACACGCTATGTAAAACGCTTAGAAAACTACGCTGCGTACGCAGCACAAGAGAACGCCGTGCAATGTAACCGTACGTACTGATACGATGATTTGAGCTACGCAGCTGGCCTGACGATACGCTACGACGTGATACGCTACGCAACGCAGCATTGCCTTCCTATTCGATATGCAATCATATGCTACCATGGACTACGCTACAAGATTATCGTCTGTAAATATACGCTCCTCAAAGCCAGGATACGTTAAAAAAAAGCTACGCTATGATGCGCGACGCCTGTTGCTTTACGATCCTGACACGACATGCTATGCTACGAAACAATACGCCCTAAAATCTAACGTAGCGTAACGTAAAACATACACAAACTTAAAACGACACGTCATTCTTCGAAAATTTGACATAACAACCTGATTATTTACACTTGCCCACAGATTCACCCAAGATTAGACCCCAAATCCCGTTCAAAATTTGTCGTCTTCAAGCCTCAGTTGTGGTACAGCGCTCGGGTTCTCGGAGCAGTTCGGTTGCACTCTTTCTCGCGATAGCGTTGCAGCTCGCCGGCGTCTTCCTATGAGCAAAAATTGATTTTAATCTTCGTCTTTTTCTTACGATATAGTCGATTCCGATTGCGATTCCTCGGAAGATTCCGATAATACTGCCGAAAAGAGCGGCAAGAGGGGTGGTTAGCCATAAAAATTGACAAAAGATGAAGAGGGCACGGCTGGCGGATACCTGAAAAAATGCTAGAGAGAGAAAGAGAGAAAGAGAGGAAGAGAGAGAGAGAGAGAGAGAGAGAGAGAGAGAGAGGGAGGGAGACGAGACAGAGAAAAGCAAGTGCGATCGGCCCACTTGGTCATATTCCAGATACGTTGGTAGTTCTTTAACGTAGCCAACTCCGGAGGCAAGGTGCAAGTTGTAGCTGACAGCCGCTGAAGTTGTCCAATTGTTCTCCTTCTTGCTGATCACGACTCCTGAAGTTGCAATTAAATATCAATGACAAACGCGAGAAACAACGGGAGACGCTACGCGTGACACCGTGCGAGACGCAACGTATCGCTACGTCACTGTTCGGCAAGGCAGCTCGAGCCAAAAAAACCTACCGGCCGAAAACATGCCAAAAGCCAACGCCATCGTCAGCACCAGCGTCACCACCTCCTTCGTCATAATCCGTTTCAGCAGTATGTGTCGATTCTTCTGGAGCTCGTCAACCTTGGGCATCACTAGCTCGGTGATCATCCTGATGGCGGAGCGATATACCTCAACCATGGAGGCTGGAATTTGTAGTGCTCCGGAAATCAAGGAAGTGATCCTACCAAGTACTAATGACACCAAAATCGCTCCCAGAATTGCCGTGACGCCAATGGCCAACCGACAAGTCGAGTGGTAGCAGGTCATGCTCCTCATGTTGGTGAGGAACATGTTCATCATGATCTGAAACTCAGGATTGGTGAGAGCGAGAGAGAGTGAGAGAGAGAGGAGATTTTACCTGAACTGCTGCATTCCCTAATGTCCATTTCGAGTGAATAGATGAGGTACCTAACACGAATGAGGTCTCGTTGGGGTAGGCTTGTTGTGAGTAGCTGTAGACGATATCTGAAAGGCAATAAGTTCCGCAAGGAAATTTGCTAGCTTGCCATATCGATCCAGACGGAGAGAGAGGGACAAAAACAGCGAGAGAGAGAGAGAGAGTGTCAGAGAGAGAGAGAGAGAGAGTGAAAGAGAGAGAGAGAGATCCACCGTACCGCTCCACTCCTTCTTCGTCAGCACAGCATTCTTTGCAATCCGGATGAACTTTTGAAAAGCCACGTATTTCTGGTTATTCTCGCTAGCAACCATTCTCAATTGGTCTTGTTGCTGGAGAAGCTCAGTCGGATGTTCCAGTGTGTTTAGATACCTACAAAATCATATGAACTAGAAAACGTCTTATTTTCCTACACCGGTACTGCGATCAGGATCGCCAACAGCCCGAAGATGGCGATCGCCGAGACGATGAACTGGCCGGCATGCATTTTAGATACGAATTAAGTACGTTTCTATACTTAAATTTTTGAATTACGAATTCACGAAAGAGCCGAGGCGCTAGGAAAGGTTTTGGAAGCCGAGAAGTTGGAGTTCGTCCTTGACAACCTGCCTAGCAATGCTGGAACTAGTAAATTTGCGGAACTAGGCAACGGATCGCAAATGATGATCGCAAATAATGCAAAAAGATCTTTTTCGAGTTTGCAGGGTCCTTTCACGGCCCTTTCGACCATCCGACGGCCCTTTCACGGCCCTTTCGACCATCCGACGGCCCTTTCACGGCCCTTTCGACCATCCGACGGCCCTTTCACGGCCCTTTCGACCATCCGACGGCCCTTTCACGGCCCTTTCGACCATCCGACGGCCCTTTCACGGCCCTTTCGACCATCCGACGGCCCTTTCACGGCCCTTTCGACCATCCGACGGCCCTTTCACGGCCCTTTCGACCATCCGACGGCCCTTTCACGGCCCTTTCGACCATCCGACGGCCCTTTCACGGCCCTTTCGACCATCCGACGGCCCTTTCACGGCCCTTTCGACCATCCGACGGCCCTTTCACGGCCCTTTCGACCATCCGACGGCCCTTTCACGGCCCTTTCGACCATCCGACGGCCCTTTCACGGCCCTTTCGACCATCCGACGGCCCTTTCACGGCCCTTTCGACCATCCGACGGCCCTTTCACGGCCCTTTCGACCATCCGACGGCCCTTTCACGGCCCTTTCGACCATCCGACGGCCCTTTCACGGCCCTTTCGACCATCCGACGGCCCTTTCACGGCCCTTTCGACCATCCGACGGCCCTTTCACGGCCCTTTCGACCATCCGACGGCCCTTTTCACGGCCCTTTCGACCATCCGACGGCCCTTTCACGGCCCTTTCGACCATCCGACGGCCCTTCCACGGCCCTTTCGACCATCCGACGGCCTTTTCACGGCCCTTTCGCCCATCCGACGACCCTTTCACGGCCCTTTCGACCATCCGACGGCCCTTCCACGGCCCTTTCGACCATCCGACGGCCTTTTCACGGCCCTTTCGCCCATCCGACGACCCTTTCACGGCCCTTTCGCCCATCCGACGACCCTTTCACGGCCCTTTCGACCATCCGACGGCCCTTTCACGGCCCTTTCGACCATCCGACGGCCCTTTCACGGCCCTTTCGACCATCCGACGGCCCTTTCACGGCCCTTTCGCCCATCCGACGACCCTTTCACGGCCCTTTCGACCATCCGACGGCCCTTCCACGGCCCTTTCGACCATCCGACGGCCCTTCCACGGCCCTTTCGACCATCCGACGGCCCTTTCACGGCCCTTTCGACCATCCGACGGCCCTTTCACGGCCCTTTCGACCATCCGACGGCCCTTCCACGGCCCTTTCGACCATCCGACGGCCTTTTCACGGCCCTTTCGCCCATCCGACGACCCTTTCACGGCCCTTTCGACCATCCGACGGCCCTTCCACGGCCCTTTCGACCATCCGACGGCCTTTTCACGGCCCTTTCGCCCATCCGACGACCCTTTCACGGCCCTTTCGCCCATCCGACGACCCTTTCACGGCCCTTTCGACCATCCGACGGCCCTTTCACGGCCCTTTCGACCATCCGACGGCCCTTTCACGGCCCTTTCGACCATCCGACGGCCCTTCCACGGCCCTTTCGACCATCCGACGGCCTTTTCACGGCCCTTTCGCCCATCCGACGACCCTTTCACGGCCCTTTCGACCATCCGACGGCCCTTTCACGGCCCTTTCGACCATCCGACGGCCCTTCCACGGCCCTTTCGACCATCCGACGGCCTTTTCACGGCCCTTTCGCCCATCCGACGACCCTTTCACGGCCCTTTCGACCATCCGACGACCCTTTCACGGCCCTTTCGACCATCCGACGGCCCTTCCACGGCCCTTTCGACCATCCGACGGCCTTTTTCACGGCCCTTTCGCCCATCCGACGACCCTTTCACGGCCCTTTCGACCATCCGACGGCCCTTTCACGGCCCTTTCGACCATCCGACGGCCCTTCCACGGCCCTTTCGACCATCCGACGGCCTTTTCACGGCCCTTTCGCCCATCCGACGACCCTTTCACGGCCCTTTCGACCATCCGACGACCCTTTCACGGCCCTTTCGACCATCCGACGGCCCTTCCACGGCCCTTTCGACCATCCGACGGCCTTTTCACGGCCCTTTCGCCCATCCGACGACCCTTTCACGGCCCTTTCGACCATCCGACGGCCCTTTCACGGCCCTTTCCACCATCCGACGGCCTTTTTACGGCCCTTTCGACCATCCGACGGCCCTTTCACGGCCTTTTCGAGCTTCGCAGGGTGTTTTCACGGCTTTTTCATCGCCTTTTCGACCTTCGTAGGGGGCTTCCACGTCCTTTTCGCGGCCCTTGACGCTAATTCTAAGCTACTCAAACTCTTTAAATTGCTAAAAACAATACTAATATACTTTTCTTTGCATGGTGTCTTTTTTGAGAGATTCTTTGCTTGATTCTGGGTGTTTATTAATGTTGTTACGACCTTAAAGCACTGCAAAAAAATTTATTTGTACTTTTCTGACTAATCGATACCCATAATAACAACCAAATCACAACACCAAATATTTTGCCAATTTCACAGCACCAAATTCCGCGAGGCAACCCTCGTGGATGAAGGAATATTCACAGAATTTGAATCCACCCGGGTTGATTTCGTAGGAATATAGCCAGTAGTCAGCCGCACTGATGGTAGAGAGGAGTTGAAAGGTTGCTTGTGGATTCTGATGCGTTTCGATTAGGATCTGAAAGAGAAAGCTAAACAGAGAATGAGAACGATAGTGAGAGTGAGAGAGGAAGAGAGAAAGGGAGAAAGCGAGAGATAGAGCGGCGAGAGAGGGAGAGAGATAGAGAGAGAGAGCTGGGCTAGAGAGAGAGCGAGAGAGATAGAGAACGTTTGACCTACTTGACATGGTCTCGTTGAGTTCAAGAATTCCGGCATCACAGAAGCTTCCGAACCTTCGATATCGATTTTGAAAATCTAAAATTTTATCTAAAGACGTTAACCTAAAATTAAAATCATTGAAAGCACACGTTAAAAGGAAAAAAAGCAAGAAAACCCAGAACCACAAAATACACCCACATCGATATGGTGATTCCCCCGCTCCTCTACTTCTTCACCGATAACGATACTGTTCGAGAAGCTATGGTTACCGGATGACGTGATCAGACCTTAAAGTTGACTAAAAAGGAGAAAAAAGGCGAGGGAGCGAGAGATAGAGAGACAGAGAGAGAGCGAGAGAGAGAGACATTGTCGTTACCTTGCCGCAATTCCCCGTTGATCGCATTGTATAAACTGACGGTCCAAGGTTTTTGATTCTTCTAAAAACTAGTATACTCCTTTGGGAGTTTTTTAGCTTGCAGCATCCAAACCAACCGTAAAATTGGTAATTAAAGGAAGGATGATAAAAAAGCTACGCACCATGTCATATCCATAGATTTTGCAGCTATTTGTCGCAATCTTCTGCAACTCCTCTTCGAAAACCACGACGTCATTCAGGCCGAGGGAATAGACGACGCAGGGTTTCGGCAATTTCCAAGGATTACAGACCTAAAACAATCGCAGAAATTTCACAATCGATTAATTTCTCTCTCTCCTTGCTTCATGACTACAAGTATTACCCATTTCCCGCCATCTCCAAGTCCGCCGACCCTTATCTTAGACGGGCAAATTGCCTAAAGAATTTCCGGAAATTTGTCTAGGTTTATTTAAGTGCTTACCTCAATAGCGAGCGCATTGTAGAAACGGCCAAAATTTTCTTCAGGCGAAAGACTATTAAAGAGCCCGTTGCGAACTGGAAATGCCATTTTTGTCCCCCGTAGCTCGATCCTGTTTTAAATGAGTACGATATTTTGCGTGATTTTATTACTTAATTTTATTGGTTAAATTCTATAATTAAGTTTTCACTTGAAGTCTAACTCACAAATGGCTTGTTCCTTGTGAAATTTTATCGCCTCTTCGATATAGGAATCAGCATTGCCATGGGATGCCCTGGCTTGTCGTGTCGAAAACGTGCCTATACAAATTAGAATTCGGGTGATCGAAATTTTTCATAATTACCAAATAGTGCTCCAAAATACAAATAACTGCTGATTGTGGTAGTGAGCATTAGAGTAAAGCAGGCTCCTGTATGTTTTGTTGATTTCCAAACTATAGACTAACCCGCTAGAAGAAAGAGCACCGGAAATCCAGACGAAAGCTTCATGATTTTCTAAATCTGGTTAGCTGGAGAGAAAGGGAGAGAGGAAGAGAGAGAGAGAGAACGAGAGAGAGAGAGAGAGAGAGAGAGAAAGAGAGAGAGAGGGAGAGAGAGAGAGCGAGAGGGCAAGAGAGAGAGAGAGCGAGAGGGCAAGAGAGGGAGAGCCATAATATTTCCAATACCAGATGTACCCATACTAAAAACGAAATGTCCGTTGGCAATTTTGACGAGGTCTGGCGGCAAACAATTTATGCAATCTAAAAGAAAAACGACCAGGAGCCTGGATAGGCACAAAATGCAATGGAATATGATTTGAAAACAAAGATGGAGAGACGTGGGCTGGGGCAATCCGTTTCTAGAGGCAGAACTTCATACGGCAGGGGATCATGATGAGAGAAAGGCAGTATTTTCGAGCATATTATATAATCTTATGAATAGTTAACGATTAGATAAGTCTAAACAATAAATCGTATAAAATAAAACACCATAAAAAATATGATTCGATTCCGTGCCCATTATTTCGAGGCAAAGGTTATTATTTCAGACCAGATTTTTTTGAAATCGCTTAAATTTTGATCCCCAGCGCTTTTATAACAACTGGCAGGTATACATGAGCTTGGCGGGGTCGAGCCTCTTTGCGTAGCCAGAGCAGCAGGTCGGCCCCGGGAAAGGACAAATAGCCCCGCCGCATTTCTGTTCTTCCTTCGCCAGACCGCTGAAAAGAACAACGAAATTTACAGTGACATTTACAAGGATTGTAAACAAGCGAAACGTTTTATCTGTGCCTATTCGAGATGGGTTTCGATTTCATGCGAATTTTCCGGGGCGGCCCATTAGAAAAATCGCAAGCGAGCGTCAAAAGATTTATGACGCGTTAATAGCGGTATAACGTATTTCATCTAATAGGTGCTAGGTGATTGCCAAAAGACTAAACTCGGGCTAATCAAGAAAAAACGGTATATTACTACGCAGTAATGGGCAAATATAATCCCTGCAAGATACTAAAGATACCTGCATGGACATCCATAGGGCTTCGACGCGCAAGTCCGCGTTCTCTGTTGTATCGCGCACATCCCGCAGAATCCGGGACATGCTGTCCACGAGCTCCATGGATTCCAGAGGCCACCTGAAAATTCCGGGCTTGAAACGTTTCAAGAGAGAGCGAGCGAGAGAGAGGGAGAGAGAGAGGGAGAGAGGGAAAGTAAGAGAGAGAAAGGAAAAGAGAGGTAGGGAGAGATAGAGCGGGAGAGAGAGAAAGGGCGAGAGAGAGAGAGCGAGAGAGAGAGAGTTGTAGCGAGAAAAAGTGACAGTGCGTGAGTGAAAGGTTTCGTCTACCTGATGGACAACAAGTCGTCGCTTTCACGGCTTCCGGCGCTACCGGAGGCCTGCATACATATTTCTTCAGAGTCGTATCCTTCCCCTTCACATTATCGCCGCAGCAAGCATGATTCGGGAACTCGCACAGTATATTCGAAATCCAGTTGTTTTGAGTAGAGGCTCCACTATAAAAAAATTATATAGTTAACCGAGGAATTTAAAAAAACGACGTTTTCAATGCGTTGCGTCTGCGTAGTGTCGCCAAGGATTTAAGAGTGAAACATGTCTTTTCCATAAAACCCACCTGCAAGGACACCCATAAGCATGCGAAAGACACGTCCTGTTCTGCGGTACCGTCGCGCACATTCCGCACGTCAGATTCAGGAAGGGACCTCCCAGCACGACACTTCCAATAGTTGTCCAGGCACCCCAGATACCTAGAATTCGCTCATAGAGCGTGGTAACATCTATGTAAAGTATGGACCTGAGCGAGAGAGAGAAAGAGAGAGGTGGGCAGAAACGCATAAGCTGTCTGACACCCCTCGACCTACCCTCCGGAGGACAACATCTAGGGGGGCGTTGCAGTTGTGGTAGTTGTCGTAACTGGCGCCACATATGGGATTGAGGCTTCAAATCAAGGTTTTGGCTTTTATTAGAATCCCACCTTCACACGAGAACTTCCCGGTCGCTCCGGCTGGCCAAGTGCCGTCGGCCCCACATTTTACGGTTCCGGAAGCGGAAAGCAATTGGCTGGTGGCTCCGCTGGATGAGGAAAGCTAAAGGATTTAAGTTCTTAATCATTCTTGCTTTTAAAAAGCCAAACAAAAACAGAAAATTGTCCTTGAAGCCCAGGTTGACACCATTTCCTTACCACAGCCGCCTCGCTGTCTTGAATTTCGACGCCAACGTAGAGCTGCTCGTAGCCCTGGCAAGCGACGGTGACGCTCTAAAAAACGATTAAAAAATTATCTATAACGAATTTCAAGTTATTTGAAGCAAATCACTGCCATCTTGAAAACGACTCAAAACTTTGCTTTAATTTACACGTACAATTTTGGCAAAAACTGGACTTCGTGTCGGTTGAAAATCCAAAACAACACTTTTATGTTTTTAACCAGCCGATTACAGCCGCTTCGCGACTGTAATCGACTGGCCTTCGGGCTACCCTCCATATTCTACACCCCCATAGCCGAAATCGTCTTCAAAAACTACCTAAATACCTTCCTGATGGCTTCAGATACCCCCCATGGCTGAAATCCCCTTCAAAAACTACCTAAATACCTTCCTGATGGCTTCAGATACCCCCCATGGCTGAAATCCCCTTCAAAAACTACCTAAATACCTTCCTGATGGCTTCAGATACCCCCATGGCTGAAATCCCCTTCAAAAACTACCTAAATACCTTCCTGATGGCTTCAGATACCCCCCATGGCTGAAATCCCCTTCAAAAACTACCTAAATACCTTCCTGATGGCTTCAGATACCCCCCATGGCTGAAATCCCCTTCAAAAACTACCTAAATACCTTCCCGATGGCTTCAGATACCCCCCATAGCTGAAATCCCCTTCAAAAACTACCTAAATACCTTCCTGATGGCTTCAGTTAGCCCCCAGGGCTGAAAACCCTTTCAAAAACTACCTAAATACCTTCCCGATGGCTTCAGATACCCCCCATGGCTGAAATCCCCTTCAAAAACTACCTAAATACTTTCCCGATGGCTTCAGATACCCACATGGCTGAAATCCCCTTTAAAAACTACCTAAATACCTTCCCGATGGCTTCAGATACCCCCCATGGCTGAAATCCTTTTAAAAAACGAAAATAACGACCGACCGGATCGAATGAGAGAAAAAAATAAATGAAATCCCCCGTGAAAATTTTCATCCACGAAACGGGCGCCACCTGGCTCACTATGTCCATATCACCCCAACCTCCGCCCCCCACCCCTTTTACTAAGGGAAAAACTTTCAAAGTTAATTTTAATAATTTAAACTAAAAGTTTTTCATAATTTTTTTATCAGTTTTGGGGTTTCTGAACACGCTCTATCCGAATCCGAAGAGACCTAAGCTCTATCTCCTTTCCCCTTCGAGTTGAATCTGGGACATGACAGACAGACGGACACCACTACTTTTTTATTATAGTTGATAACAAACAGCTTGAAGAGCCATAATTATTCGGCGCCATACCTTACACCCATTTGCATCCGCTTTATAGGTAAAAGCCGGGTCCGAATACGTGAAAACATCGCCACAAGCTTCCGGTGAAAGCAGGCAGGTCCCGGCCGGGGTTGCATCCGGACACGACGTGCAATCGGAGCGTACCGTAGTCAAACAGCATCCCGACAACACAACAATCAAATATTGTATCATTTTAGGCCCGCAACCGGAAGTGAAATTTCCCTAACTACCTGAACCTTTATACATGCCCCCATGACTCATCGTTATTTACGGATTAGAGATGGTTTTTCGAGTTTCAGGCTTTTCTCCCGCTAAATTGGACACGGTGCGTCGGCACGTTCCGCACTAGGGTTTGTGTCGATGAATGCACCAGGTTCGGGCGGCTTAAAAGGCTCACAAAAGCTTAAAAAACGACGGATTGATGACCAGCCAATCGGGCTTGCGAATCGGTTTTCAAAACCGCACTTACCGTAGCGCGCTAATGAGGTTTCGGTGCAAACCGCGAGTTTTTGAGCAAAAAATACGGGAAATATTGAGGACCTTTTTTGGTCCTTTCTATTCAAGCATTTCTTTTTGTTATTCGAGCTTTTTCTCTGCCATTTGAGCGCGATGACCAACAATACAAACAATTTTTTTTCACAAAACCTAAACAGCAACAGCTTTACAGTAGGCTTTCTTCAAGGTTTCATCAATGGACTTGATAAATCCGGAGCAGCAAGTTGGTCCCGGAAATGGGCATACCGAGTCGCAGAAGCCGACCTCGATAGCTTTTCCACTGAAAAATTAGTGGTAGAGAGAGGAGCAGAGAGAGAGAGAGAAAGAGACAGAGTGGGAGACACACACAGAGAGAGAGAGAGAGAGAGAGAGAGAGAGAGGCGAGAGTGAGAGGGAGAGAGAGAAGCGAACTCACGTGCAGGGACATCCATAAGGTTCCGAGGCACAGGTCCTATTCCTCCATCGAGTTCCGCAGCCACCGCAGGTACCCCCATTGCATCCCGACCAAACGGACCACGGATTCCAGAGACCGGCGGCTATAAGTTAAGTTAAGATTTGCCTTTTTCTTCACAAGCGAGAGAGAGAGCGAGAGATAAAGAGAGAGCGAGATAGAGAGAGAAAGAGAGAGAAAGAGAGAGAAGAGAGGGAGAGAGACAGCGAGAAACGCACCCGGTGAGCAGCAGGTGACGTTCTGTGGAGCAGGCGATGGATTCGGTGATTTGCACACATAGCGCTTCAGCTTCAGGTCGACCGTCATCTTATTTGGAGGACAACAGGTCTGGTCAGCGAAGGAGCAGATTTCATTTGATGTGGCGCCGACTTGTGTGGAAGGGCCGCTAAAATGGGCATTTTGGTTAAGAGAGAGAGAAAGAAAGAGAGAGAGAGAGAGAGCGAGAGAGTGAGAGAAACTTGCGTGCAAGGGCAATCTGGAGCCGTCAAACAGGTCCGCTTCTGCGGAACGGTAGCACACATGCCACATGATAAGTTCTTGCCAACACTTTGATATGTGATGCTCCCAGTCGAAGTCCATTCCCCCCAGATACCCTGCGGAGCACGGTCAGCACAAGCCGTGCATTGTGATGAAACTGCCTAAAAAAAACAAAAGAGTCTGTTTTTAAAAAAGTGAAACAACACTAGAATTAGAATTGTATGCAAAGAATCGAAAAATGAAGTATACAAAAGTCGTTAAAATTTTGTAAAATTAGTAGCTCGTTATCTTCTAAGAAACGATGTATTCTTAGAAAAATGGAAATTATTTTTTAGTACCATTGTTTAGTTAATTAATTTTCTCGGATTTGGTTTTCGACCACTCTAAATTCATCATTGAAATCATCGCAGAAATACGCAGCTCTTAGTATTTTTGCTTTTATGACAAATGCATTAAAAAATTTAAACTAACCTTAAGTGCCACAAAACCACACACCAAATACAGTAGCATAGCTAGCTAGCTAGACTCGACAAAATATGAATGCCAATCGGGGTAGATTATGCCATGCCCACGCCTAGTTATACCCCGGCGAAAAACCAATTTTGTTCCCCGAGGGGGCAGCTGATCCATCGGAGCACGTTTTGGCATAGTCAGATATTTGGCGACACGCGCGGCAACAATCGGCTGTACGATGCAATCAGGCGGCGATTTGGTGGGCTTTTCGACAGCTGGGCCACGCGGAAATGGGAGGCTTTTGTGGGGTAGCATTGTTGGTGTGTTGGACGCGTGTACTTTTTTTATGTTGGTGTCAAACGTGGAAACGTGAAGAAGTTTCAAAAAGGCCCAGGTGGTACGCTACAGTCCGAAGTGACACAAAAAGGGCAAACTAATAGTCGAGGGAGAAATAGGTATCGCTTCCGTTATAGTAATGAAAATTAATTAACCTAAGATATTTGAATGACCTAGACCTACTTAGTTAAAAAATCTAAAATCATTATATTTCATGGATTTTCTTTTGATGTTTTTATCTATATATTAAATTACAAATATAAGGTCAATTTGAATGACATATGAAAAGATGCAATAACGGTTTTATAGATGCATTGTTCGACGAAGTCAAAGAGGAGTGAACATCGATTATTGTTACCATTATTTATACATTTTTATTAACAATTTATCTCTAGACTTTCATTGGCAAGTGTACATCTTCTTGGCCGTGCTCAGCTTTTTCACAAACGGTGAGCAACAGGTGCTTCTCGGGAACACGCAAAGCGTATCGTTGCACGGGACTTCTTGCGTGAAGGGGCCACTGAAATCGACATCATAATCGACTTTAATGCCTATTGATTTTGGCCAATTAACTGCGGTGTTTACGGTTCAGGACTTACGTGCAAGTCGTGCCAGGCGGCCAACAATATCTCGCCTGCATCTCCCTGCCACACATTCCACAAGTGTCATTGCAAGTTGCCGTGGTGAACCAGGCCTGCCAGGTTCCGACGGCAGGTGTTGGCTGAAAATTGCGTAAGGTAGCATATCAAAATTACGGATCCGATATTCCCGTCTCCAGTTGCCAAGTTATGATAGTAATTAGCAGCTACGTTACACGTCCCAATGACGCTATATCCATACCTGTGTCTCCTGGCAAAACAGCGTTCCGTCATAACTGACAGCCTGGTACGTCGCGCCACAACAAGCAGTACCGGTACACGCTGGATTTCCGCACTTTTGGGACTGGGTGGAGGTACCACTAAATTTGGAGATTGATATTACGCGCCTGAAAATTATTGAAACCTGCATGGACATCCATAGGCCGCAGATGCACAAGTTCTCGTACGCGATTGTGTGCCACAAAGGCCACATGTCGCCGAGCAGCTCGCCCACGAGCCCCAGTCGTTCCAGAGGCCGTTGCCATCTGAAAAAAAATGTTATTTAGATTCTTTTAAAAGAGCACACAATAGCCAAATAAAGGTTATCTGGGAGGGACTTTCATTTCCTGCAAATTGCTAAAGGACTCTGGGAAGAGGGACCTCGCGGTTTCAATTCATGCGAAAAACCGTTTTAGTCCTATGTTTGCGAATACACTAATATTTCCCGATTCTGACCTCCTTTCTGAAATCCTCACTCAATTTCAACTTGTTTTGGTCTTTTGATCATCGATTTTGGACCAGAAATCGCCGAGAAACAGCCAAGAACGCGATTCTGGAGGTGACCACGGGGAATTGCAAATTTTCACGCTTCCCGCGCTCTGGGTGTGCAAAGGCCTTCGACGTACAGGTACCCGGTTTTCGGGCCGTAACAGCTGTTATTAGCAGTTATTTGCCCCTTAACGCTTTTCGTCACTGTCTTTTCGGTTAAAGGAGTTCACGTCCATTTGATAATGGTGTACGCACCATGTCGCGCGACACCTGCAGCTTCGCAACACATTTTAGCCCTCCGGCCCTGATAATACTCATTCTAACGCTATTTTACCTGGGGGACAACACGTCGTCGTCTTTATAGCCGGAACTGTTGTTGTGGATTGACAGCTATACTTCTTTGCCGCGACGTCCAACTTCTTCACGTAGGGCGCGCAACACGTTGCATACGGGAAGACACAGAGGTCCGACGATGACGCCAAGCTCTGTGTTGTCAAGCCACTAAAATGCCTTATATTTTTGCTGTATCCGCGCAACCTACACGCAAGAACACCCGTATCTCTCGGACAAACACTTCCGCTTCTGCATCTGTGTTGCGCACATGCCGCACGTTAGGTTCTTGCCATCACCTCCCTTTTGGAGAGTTCCAGTCGAGACCCACTCGCTCCAGATGCCTAAAGGACAACAAAGATTATAATTCTAAGGGGTCCTACCCTCAGCCGGACAACACGTCGTACTACAATTGTTCACCGCCATCGGATCATCGGGCGAAATTGCCGGTCCACAAGAGTTGATGTCATTCCAGGTCCCCAGCGAGCGACCCGGGCAGCAGGACAGTCTCGGGAAGTGGCATGAATTTGCGTTGCACAGCTCGACCTTGGTGGAATCGCCGCTGAAATTAGGTTAACAATTAAGTTTCTATTAATTTTCTATTAACTTAATGGTTTTATTATCGAAGCTTATTAATTTTGCGCCATACCTGCAAGGACATGATGGCAAACTTGCGCAAGTCCTCGTTTTCGTGATATTGCCACAAGCACCGCAAAAATCGGGGCAGCTATTCTGGGCAACCCATTCGCTCCAAGTACCGCCGGCGGCACAGCAGACTTCTTCGGTAGTGGTGGTCGTGGTGGTCGTAGTCGTTGTCGTAGTGGTCGTCGTTGTCGTTGTCGTAGTAGTGGTCGTCGTTGTCGTAGTCGTCGTGGTGGTAGTGGTGGTAGTAGTAGTTGTCGTAGTCGTTGTTGTCGTTGTTGTTGTTGTTGTTGTTGTTGTTGTTGTTGTTGTTGTTGTAGTCGTCGTCGTCGTCGTGGTAGTGGTAGTAGTGGTAGTAGTGGTTGTGGTAGTCGTGGTCGTCGTCGTCGTTGTTGTTGTTGTAGTCGTCGTGGTAGTGGTTGTCGTCGTCGTTGTTGTTGTCGTCGTCGTTGTAGTGGTGGTCGTGGTAGTAGTAGTTGTCGTTGTCGTCGTAGTGGTCGTCGTCGTCGTCGTGGTTGTCGTTGTTGTTGTCGTGGTCGTAGTTGTTGTCGTGGTGGTAGTAGTTGTCGTCGTCGTAGTGGTCGTCGTCGTCGTCGTCGTCGTCGTCGTCGTCGTCGTCGTCGTCGTCGTCGTCGTCGTCGTCGTGGTTGTCGTTGTTGTTGTCGTGGTCGTAGTTGTTGTCGTTGTAGTAGTAGTTGTCGTCGTCGTAGAGGTTGTCGTTGTTGTTGTCGTCGTCGTTGTAGTGGTGGTCGTGGTAGTAGTAGTTGTCGTAGTTGTCGTGGTGGTAGTCGTCGTTGTCGTCGTCGTCGTTGTTGTTGTAGTCGTCGTCGTCGTCGTCGTCGTCGTCGTGGTAGTAGTGGTTGTTGTCGTAGTTGTCGTGGTGGTAGTCGTCGTTGTCGTCGTCGTCGTCGTTGTTGTAGTCGTCGTCGTCGTCGTCGTGGTGGTGGTAGTAGTGGTTGTTGTTGTCGTGGTTGTCGTGGTGGTAGTCGTCGTCGTCGTGGTTGTTGTTGTTGTTGTTGTCGTTGTAGTAGTAGTTGTCGTTGTCGTCGTCGTGGTTGTCGTTGTTGTTGTCGTGGTCGTAGTTGTTGTCGTGGTGGTAGTAGTTGTCGTCGTCGTAGTGGTCGTCGTCGTCGTTGTTGTTGTTGTAGTCGTCGTGGTCGTGGTGGTTGTCGTTGTTGTTGTCGTGGTAGTAGTAGTTGTCGTCGTCGTCGTTGTTGTTGTTGTAGTCGTCGTGGTAGTAGTGGTCGTCGTCGTCGTCGTGGTTGTCGTTGTTGTTGTCGTGGTAGTAGTAGTAGTTGTCGTCGTCGTAGAGGTCGTTGTCGTCGTTGTTGTTGTTGTGGTCGTCGTGGTCGTGGTGGTGGTGGTCGTCGTCGTTGTCGTTGTTGTAGTCGTTGTGGTGGTGCTCGTTGTCGTCGTCGTTGTTGTTGTCGTCGTCGTCGTGGTGGTAGTCGTCGTTGTCGTAGAAGTGGTGGTAGTGGGGACAGGCCTCAGCACTAAAATACCGTTTAATGGCATGCAAAATATGCTCTACCTTCACATGCAAATTCCCCAGTTGACGGGGCCCAGGTTCCATCTGCGGCACACGTCATGGTATCGGTGAATTCGATCAAAGTGCCGTCATCATTGGCCATGTCGTTTACCTATTGGTTTCGTTAAGTGTAAGAAATAAATCATCTTACAAAGACGCCTCCTTCTCCTTCAACACTTGTGGCATCGATAACCCAGTCGAATCCTCGACATGTGATTCCAACCGTCTGAAAAAGAGCCGTGAGGGCGGTCTGAAGTCACGTACCCGGCATCCACTTCCATCTGTTCCATAGGTGAAGATGGGGTCCACATAGAACATGTCGGTTCCACATTCGGTAGGTGAGGCCAGGAGACAGGTACCAGCCGCGACCGCATTGGGGCAAGTCGCGCAGCTGGCCTCAGCCGAGCGGATGAGGACCAGAATTGTTACCCATTGCTTGAGCATCTAAACCTGGTAGTGTGGAACAGAGAAGGAGAGAAAAGAGATAGAGAGACAGCTAGAGAGCGAGAGACAGAGCTGGAGAAAGGTAAAGAATGAGAGAGCAGCGACAGTGGGTAGGGGTCGCTGGCAACTACTCGCGCAGCGACATGATGCGACGCAGGTTAAACAGCTAGATACAGAGAGTGTGAGAGAGCGAGAGGGAGAGAGAAGAGAGAGAGAGAGAGAGAGTGCCAGGAAAAACTACGAGTAGAGATAAAAGTGGGTCGCACACTAGTTTTTGCGCGAAACGACATGGTGCGTAAGGGAAAAGATACCCTTGCGTAGTGGTACGCATGGCTACTTTAACCGAAATAAAAAAAATCCAAAAATTCAGAAGCGAAATCAATTCAAAAATGGCTTCCCAATATCGTCTTGGATTTTGACCGGGCCCGATTGCCCAGCCGACTTCCGGTTCCGCATATAGAAATTCGGGTAGTTCGTCTGGAAAAAGGATTAAAAAATTCCAGAGACAGCTTCCCGGCGAGTTCCAAGCCCTAATAACTTCCCGAATATATTCTTCTTCCCACACGATTCTCGAAATTTGCCGGCGGCCAGCTAGGTCAACAACAGGCCCTTCCTCGCCGTTTTTTAGTCTTATGCATGTCGGTGTGGCCTTGCTGCGCCCCGGCGTTTTTGTCCGTGCCACCGGAAGTGTGCGTCGTGCAGAGGAGGGAATGAACGATGTGATCTTTTTATTTGTGGAGGGGGCTGGAAACATGTGGATGAATGTGTCCCGATCTCCCAACCTCAAAAAATTCTAGACAGATGATTTTTGATCCGGCTTGTCGTCAGGCCGCGCAAGTGTCGGTCTTATGGTTATTTTCAAAGTCGTTAATGGCACGTAATTCGTAAATTCGATCGAAACATCGGTTTTCCGACAATCGCTGCCGGGCTTGAAATCGAACCGAATTCAATGCGACTATCCTGACTTCTAGGTTCAGGTCTAAGAGGCAGAAGATTGCAAGCACTTCCGGTTCTTCAGCCAGGCTTCTTGGAATTTCAGAACCTTAATGTAGTTGCAGCTGCCTCGAAGACTGCTTTCTATAGCCTAGAGTTAGTTTATTTTTATAATATCTGTAAGCGTTGTTTTTTTACATTTCCTGGAAGACAAAGAGCCGTTCCGTAGACAGGTTACCTTAAAGCAGATCGCGAAAATAGATTAAAATTGGAATTTTCATCTTCATTTAAAGAAAAAATACCAAGACTTTTAGGCATTAAAAAACCCTGTTAAATCAGCATAAATATGCTTTAACCGACGTCATTGATACCTCAAGCCCCCTCCGTTTTCAAAGCGTTTTTTCAGACGAGAGAGAGATTTAACCTCCTTTTTGGTTTTTTTTGCAGGCCAGTCACTCGGATTTTTGATCGATTGGGGGCTTTTGCGCAGTTCACTCTTCCAGAAGTAAAGTGTTCCCGCGTCGATTTTACCCTCACCCATTAGCATTTCAATATCGGCCCCCCGAAAAAAACGGTTCGCGAGTTGTGCGAACTTCCCTCCAAGTTCCCACGCGACTATTCAGTACTCTACCGTATAAAAAGAGTCCTGCAAAAATGGAAGCACTTATTCCGGTGGCACGATGGCTCGGTGTATGGTGAGTATAGTATTTTAACGTATTTAAGCCACCTTCTAGGTATTCTTCGTCTCGGTGCTAGGAGTTGTTGCGGCTAAGGGTAGGTTTTAGAGGGATTTCTCAAGTATCGATATCTTAAAAACGACTTTACGGGCGCTACTATAAATTTCTAGCATTACGTCGAACATTTAATGCGATTAAAGTAATACAATTTAGACCAAAAACGCTATTTTTAGGTCTCCCTTATCCGAGCATTCCCGAGTGCGGGGACAACCAGGTTCATCAGGACTGCCAGCCTCAATGCCAGCCAAAATGTGGCCAGCCTTACGTAAGTAACTGTTATATACCGTAGTTCGTTTCCTATATTAAAGCAACCGTTGAAAGACCCTAAAATAGGTACTGGATAAAAGATGCCTAATTTACCTTCGTAATAGCGCAAGCACAGAGGCTCAGGCTTTAATAACTTTAGCACTGCGATGTGTCGTCGTATGTGAGCACATGTGAGCCGGGCTGCTATTGCAAAGAAGGCTACCTCATCAAGAACAATGCCGACGGATCGACCTCGTGCGTTAAGAAAAGCCAGTGCGGCTATCCGGCCCCGACCCCGGCACCGGCTGGCTGCATGCAGGTGTGGTAAAAAGTTTCCGGTGATGGAGTACTGTAATGGAGATGATACCGCAAAGTTCAAACTTGGTTATTTGACGGATCTAAACGAAATTGTATAGACCCCCGAAGCGCCTACCCCGGCCCCGGTGACCGATGCGCCTACCCCTGCGCCCACCCCAGTACCGGTGACCGATGCGCCTACCCCCGCGCCGACACCGGAAGCGCCCGCCCCGACACCAGCAGTGAGCGCCTCTCTCTCTCTCTCTCTCTCTCTCTCTCTCTCTCTCTCTTTCTCGCTCACTTTCCCTCTCTTTCTCTCTCTCTCCCTCTCTCTCTCTCTCTCTTTTTCTCGCTCATTCTCTCGTTCGCTTTCTAAACATTTTTTACTCGTTGTAGCCCTGCTCGCCTGTGTACGAATACTCCGAGAGTTGCTGCAACCTGGCGTGCACCGACAATGACGTGGCAGCCACCCTGGTATGTTCGATTTATCATTGCGAATTCCCAATATTATCAGAGCTGTGAGGAGGCACCCGAGAAGTTGGACGGGTGCGACTGCCCGGAAGGAACGACGAAGACGCACAGCAGCGAGGGCCTCGAGGTCTGCGTGCCTGACGACAAGCTAGTGTGCCAAGCGCCGACGCCCGCGCCGACGCCTGAGCCGACAACGCCGACGACAACGACGGTAAGGCTAAAAATTGGCTGGCTCTCACACGTCTGAAAACCGATCGACGCTTGTCGGACCAGTCCTTTTTCTGGACCGTTATCTGGCGATCGGGACGAAAATTAGGTCCCATCGAAACTCCTTCTCATTTCAGACCTGCTCGCCCGTGTACGAATACTCCACGACCTGCTGCGAGATCAAGTGCCCCAGCTATGGCAGTCCAATGACGCTGGTAAGTTCGATATATCGTCGCTAATGCCTGATGGTTTTAGAGCTGCACTACGACACCCGAGAAGGTTGACGGATGCGAATGCCCGGCCGGAACCACGAAGACGCGCAGCAGCGAGGACCTTGATGTCTGCGTGCCTGAGGATCAGTGCAAGCCGCCCACGCCTGCGCCTGCGCCGGAACCGACACCCGAGCCAACACCCGCGCCGACGCCGGAGCCGACAACGCCAACGACAACGACGGTAAGGCTAAGACTTGGCTGGCGCTCACATGTCCGAAAACAATTTATCCGAAGAACCCCGGAAACCCCGATCGGCGCTTGTCCGACCAGTCCTTTTTCTGGACCGTTATCTGACGATCGGGACGAAAATTAGGTCTCATCGAAATTCCTTCTCATTTCAGACCTGCTCACCCGTGTACGAATACTCCACGGCCTGCTGCGAGATCAAGTGCCCCAGCTATGGCAGTCCAATGACGCTGGTATGTTCGGTATATCGTCTCAATATTCCTGATGGTTTTAGAGCTGCTCCACGACACCCGAGAAGGTTGACGGATGCGAATGCCCGGCCGGAACCACGAAGACGCGCAGCAGCGAGGACCTGGATGTCTGCGTGCCGGAGGATCAGTGCAAACCGCCCACGCCTGCGCCGGCGCCGGAACCGACACCCGAGCCAACACCCGCGCCGACGCCGGAGCCGACGCCGGAGCCGACAACGCCAACGACAACGACGGTAAGACTAAGACTTGGCTGGCGCTAACATGTCCGAAAACAGTTTATCCCAAGACCCCGGAAATTCCGATCGGCGCTTGTCGGGCTAGTCCTTTTTCTGGACAGTTATCTGACGATCGGATCCCATGGAAGCTCCTTCCCGTTTCAGACCTGCTCGCCCGTTTACGAATACTCCACGACCTGCTGCGAGATCAAGTGTCCCAGCTACGGCAGTCCAATGACGCTGGTCAGCTCGATATATCGTCGCTAACGCCTGATGGTTTTAGAGCTGCTCTACGACACCTGAGAAGGTTGACGGATGCGAGTGCCCGGCCGGAACCACGAAGACGCGCAGCAGCGAGGACCTTGATGTCTGCGTGCCGGAGGATCAGTGCAAGCCGCCCACGCCTGCGCCGACGCCGGAACCGACACCCGAGCCGACGCCGGAGCCGACACCCGAGCCAACAACGCCAACGACAACGACGGTAAGACTCAAAATCCGGCTGTCGTTCACGTTTCTGAAAAATGCGGTCCGAAAAACCGCTGTCCCAGATAGCACAGCGTTTCCATCCCCGGATAATGCTGGTAGCAACCAGTCAATAGTCAACTCCAGACATGCTCCCCACTGTACGAATTCGAGGACTGCTGCGAAGTCAAGTGCAGTCGCAACGGATATCCTGTGGGGCCTATCGTGGTGGGGACCCAATTTTAAATACCGATTTACGTCCTTGACACAGAGCTGCACCGAGACACCGACGAAATCGATGTGCGAGTGCGCTGAGGGCACGATTATTTTGCTCAGCGAAAATGGCTTCAATGTCTGTGTGCCGGCCGAGACTGCAGAGTGCACGACAACGACCGTGACCACAACTCCCACGACTACTGAGACCACGACGACGCCTACCACAACCACGGTGGGGTTCGAAACCGTGATGCCACCTTCACGACTTTCTTAATCATCTCATGACGATGAGTCCCCTTTTAGCACTGCGCGCCGGTGAAGTATGAGTTCGGCTCGGACTGCCGGTATGTCTGCGGTGGCTACGATACCCGCTCTGTGGTATGACAACTGCTTTAGCGCTAAGAATGGCCATAATCTTCAGACGTGCGACACCGAGCCCAAGGAGCTCGACACCTGCGTCTGCCCCGATGACTGCGACTCCGTGCCATTCAACGAGGGCGACATCTGCGTCCCAAGGGATCAGACAGTCTGCGCAACCACGCCGACAGTGCCTCCAGTTACGGTATGTCGTGCTCCTAATAGCCACCACCAAGCTTTGAGAGAGCTGAAAGTATCTTAGCTCGTGGTACTTAACAAAAAAATTCCTAACATCTTCTTTAGACTCCCTGCCAACCGGATATCTACAAGTATGATGGCTGCCACTACGATTGTGCCACCGACTGTGTCGACGTAAGAATTCTTGGTTTACGTCGGCCTAGCTCGATTGATTTGGTAGTTCGATACCGATCTGTTCTTTAGACTTGCGGAGAACTCGTGAGAACCCCCGACTGCAAGTGCCAAGACGGCGAGTTTGAGTCGACCTACGACGGAAAGACAGTCTGCGTGCCGCAGGGAGAAAAGGACCAATGCCCGGTAGTTTTTCTGTAGTCAGCTAACCTGCCAAGAAGCGAGGACAGTATTCTATCACCTATCGATAATTGCCTTACGCGTTTCTATCCGTTAAGATGCTAATTCGATTTTTTTAATGTCAATTATTGATTTTTTTTGTCCTTAGCCGCCAACGGAAGCACCGACCCCTCTCCGAGTACAACAACCGAGACTACCACCACAGAAGCGACGACCACTACCACCACTGAAGTATGTCTCGATTTTACGACATATTTTTAGCACAAACAAGCTTATTCAAGTTTTACCGAACCCTGACCCTTTTGCAGGCATCCACCACAACCACGACACCAGCGCCAACTGTTGGTTCCATATCAATTTTTATATCAAACACAAGGATTTTCCATTGACATCTGTAATACCTTCAAAATTTCAGGAGTGCCCCCACAAGGTCACGGTCTACAGCTGCACCCCGCAATGTACCTGGGACTGCAAGAAGAAGGCGCTGGTAGGTTTTATACAAGGGTTTCGCAATCAGAAATGGGGTACACCTGAGATTTATAGATAGCTTTTCGACTATTTTACATTTCTTTAATATAAAAATATACAAATGCTTTTTAGTCCGGGAGTTGCAAGGCAGAGAAGTGCCCGCTAGAGGAGATTTGCGGCTGCCCCGAGGGTAGCGTTTTGGTGCCGTACAGCGGCGGATACGCTGCACCTGGCCAAGTCTGCGGTATGTTTCCTCGACTTATAGCTTTAAATACTAGCAAAAAGATTTAAGATTCTTATGCTATACCTTGTAGCGATTTTTTGACACTGTCTATTCCCCCAATTTCAGTCACCAAGAGCTGCCCATCACGCGGATATGCCAACCCAGCTCACTAGGTCGCCAAGCCTTTCTTCGAGAATAAATCAATTGTTAAGAGTTTATTTTTAAAGGACAAGCAATAGAAATAATTTTTAGTATCCAGCTGGCGCGCTTTCTTGACCTTTTCTAAATACATCACTGTTACGTTTTTTACGAAAGCTTCACCTGAAGTCCGAATTCGCATACAGCTGCCCGTCAACCTCACGAATCGCACCCGTAGCCTCGGTTAAATTGGTGGTACTTTGCATGGTTTGGCCTCGATTTTCGAGGGCTTTGATCAGCTCCTAGAGTACGAGAGATACAGGAAAATTTATAATCAAATACCTTTGGAAAATCTTCCTCATAATACGTCACATTTGGCTCGAGTTGATTATGAATTCTAGGGAAGTCAACAGCTTCTTTTACGGTAGAATTTAGCCACATTGTGTGAAGTGCGATCCCTAATTTTAAAGTTTTAAATAGGCGATTTTTAAATTAGCCATTATTGAAACATTTAAAGGTAAAGGCAAAGCTATCAAAAACCAACCTGCAGTCCCTGTAATAATCGTCGAGCCGCCAGCCGCCCCAACTGACATTATGCGCTTTAAAAAATGCATTTAATAAAAGCCTAGTGTTTTTCTATACCTTAGAACCATCGTTGTCAATGATTATCAATGGCGTCATACTGCTCAGCGGCCGCTTGCCAGGTTTAATAAAATTAGCAGCAGATGGTTCATACCCGAAATAGTTAGGGTGTCCTTAAAAACGTACGTTACCAGTTTTTAAGATCAATGAGTTACAGTTTTGAAATTTGACAAAGTGGTTACCTGGCGTACTGAAATCGTCCATTTCGTCGTTCCAAATAATTCCCAAGGCGTCTGATGCTACTTTTGCGCCGAAGCTAAACGGTAGCAGGTTGAGTAATGAGATACAAATTTTTTAGTGGCTTTTCAAAATTAAAAATTTAAATAGGTGGGAGAACCAACTTTTTTCTTGACTTAATTTTTTAAAATAAAAAGTGGCAGTGTTTCGACGCGTTTAGTACGATTCCTAAACGTGAAAACTGTATAAACTTTTATTAAACAGTAAGGAAAATATCGATTCTTCGACCAAATTGGCCTTTTTGCAAGATTTTTTAAATTTTTGAATAGTTGAAATACAGTTTGATTTTACCGAAAGGTTATAAAAATACTTTCTCTTAAGCCACTAAGCATTTGCAACGCCAAAAAAAAAAGAATTGGTTCCCCCCCGTGGTGCATCGCTCACCCCCTGCCCAGATAATGCCAACGAATCCATTTTTAATAGTATTATTGGTACGTAAAGTGGTATTTTTAATCGTATACTTTTTCTGCAGCATCCTCTAACTTACAACAAATTAATGGTCGACGTCACCGAGACGGCATTGCCCATTTTGTCAATCACCGAAAGATGCGTGGTTCCATGATCCGGAACCGGCATTGAATACGAGCCACCGTAATATGAGTCTGCGTGAGCTTCATTTGTGATCATGGTTCTAAAATTAAATGTATAACCTTTGCCTATAAAGTAAAGAGTATAGTAGAGTAGAGTAAGCCTTGTATAACAGAGCCTATTAAAAGCCATACCTAACCCACTCCGCCCACGCTTTTGTCGTCAGATTCCTCGCGATATCCGTGGCGTTGGCGACGAATTTCGGGTCGCCCAACCAAGTCCGCCCCGAGTACGCAAATTTACTGGACTGTACGTGGTTTTGCACTTATTGGAAGCGCGTACTTCGATAAAGCGATGGAAAAACAGGCCAGCTGCGTCGACAGTGTCCATACTGCTCTCGTACTTGTCCATAACTTGCAAAATTGCGATGGCCACTGCCGCACTGCTTGGTGGGGGTGGGCCGCAGATTTTGCGACCGGAGGGTAGTCTAGATGAAAATGTTTAAATTACGATCCCAACAAGGCTACTATAAATTGATATTTCCATGATTAACCTGTGGGTTTTAGCATTTAAAATACGAAGCAGTCCGTTTGCATTCAAAACCTACACAGCAACCATTAGATCCTTTTCCTCGTATAACAAGCTGCGATATGCGCGGAAGTCCTCGCGGGTGAGAAGTCCTTGTCTGCCTGAAAATGGTGAATTGACTGAAACTTTGACAAATTTGATTTTTAATGCCGTACTATTAAATAAATTTTTCTAAGATAAGTTCCAGATTTTCCCTCCAAGATTTACGCACCGTTCTTGGTCATCTCCTCAACCATAATTTGGGTGAGCTCGGCGGAGTCGTAAAATAATTTGATGGGGTCATTAGAGTTGGCGAGCTGCTGAAGCGTGTCCGCGAATTCGCGTCTGAAAAAGGGATGAAAAGGTCTGCTAGCAGCGGCTTCTCGCTTTTCAAAGAAAAACATATGGCTCTATCCTAATAGCGGGGACCATAGAAATTATCGGGGACCATAGAAATTATCGGGGACCATAAAAAATATCGGGTACCATAGAAAATATCGGGTACCATAAAAAATATCGGGTACCATAGAAAATATCGGGTACCATAAAAAATATCGGGTACCATAGAAATTATCGGGGACCTTACGAAATATCGTGGACCGATCGCGAATATCGGGGACTTTAAAATCGGCCATATAGGGCAAAATTTCGGCTGATCAATATCGTGGACTTTAGAATTTAGACTCCAGCCGGGCTATGGCCCACGATCCTGACCGATACAAAAAATATCGGAAATTGCCGGAAAACGCCTGCTAATCGAGAAAAGGGCAATTCACTGGCTTCCCAAGCGCCAGGGGCTACAGAGAAGCTTACCTTGCCATCTTCCTTGGCACTTCACTGTCTTGGACGACTTGACGCTTATGGCGAGGTGATCGTCCTTTGAGCTACACCACTCCACATAAATTTGTAGGCGCCCCCAATTTTTTGCCTAGGGAAATTGCCGGTGGGAAAGTCGGCTTAACTTGGGGTTCGAGCTCGATGCGTTACGTACGGATCCGTACAGGTCGTGTGACGATGTTAAAGCACAAACCGAGTTTGAAATCGCCTAACATGAGCTTAGATGGGGAATTTAGCCCTAAGTTACGCCGGGGGTACGATGCGATCACGAACAAGTTCAGGGAGTTTTGCGTTTCAAATCCGCAATTGAGTCTTGAGATGCATCTGCTACCGGTCGGAAGGCCTCTGTGGACCACATCGCTCGGTAACACGGCGAAATTATCGTTCCCTTCGCTAAAACGGACCCGTCCACAGATCATTTTTGATGCCACGATTTTTTCGGTCTTGGAGCACGAGCTCACTGTGTCTGCCCTGCGAAAAAATAATGTCTGAAGCAAGAGCATCACCAGCAACCATCTCCGATGCTTTTCGAGGTGAAAAAATATGCAGAAACCGGAAATCGCGAAAAAATTGGTCCTGCCTGTGGTACTAACTTAGTAAAAAATTGGTACTAACAAGTTTTTTCAGCTTCCCAAACCCGAACTAGTATTTAGTAATTTGGGTCAAAGCGCTATAATGACTGGCAATTTCCCTAGGCAAAAAATAAAAAAATAAAATTGGAGGCGCCTACAAATTTATTTGGAGTGGCGTAGCTCAAAGGACGATCACCTCGCCATAAGCGTCAAGTCGTCCAAGACAGTGAAGTGCCAAGGAAGATGGCAAGGTAAGCTTCTCTGTAGCCCCTGGCGCTTGGGAAGCCAGTGAATTGCCCTTTTCTCGATTAGCAGGCGTTTTCCGGCAATTTCCGATATTTTTTTGTATCGGTCAGGATCGTGGGCCATAGCCCCGCTGGAGTCTAAATTCTAAAGTCCACGATATTGATCAGCCGAAATTTTGCCCTATATGGCCGATTTTAAAGTCCCCGATATTCGCGATCGGTCCACGATATTTCGTAAGGTCCCCGATAATTTCTATGGTACCCGATATTTTTTATGGTACCCGATATTTTCTATGGTACCCGATATTTTTTATGGTCCCCGATAATTTCTATGGTCCCCGATAATTTCTATGGTCCCCGCTATTAGGATAGAGCCAAACATATTTCCATCATAATGCCAAAAATAAAATGTCGCAAATGCGATAATGTCGAAAAATGTCGAAAATGTCACGAATGTCGATGAAATTTCAGAATATCGAATTTTTGCTTAGGATTCGGGGGTTCCCGGGGGAAATTTGCTCATGAAAATTTCGAAATTCAAAATCCCGACATTTTGAATTTCGACAATAGGAAACTTTCAGAATAATTCGACATTTGACAAGAAGAATAATTTCCAGATAATTTTCAAGACAATTTTAAGACTTACCGTACAACCTGATCGCCGTTCTGTTTGACCTTTCCATTCTCCAAATAGTGGTGCATCGTGGGTTCCGTTTTAAGCCAATCCGCTTGCTCTCGAAGGGCTTCCTCTTGCTGCCAAGATACCGGGATGCCTAGGTAATGAAAACGGGATAGACGGGTACACGACATGTATCATAATTTTCATGCGGTACGCGAGGCAAGTCAAAGCTTTTAGAAGAACCCCTTACCGTCCCGCGCCAACTGTATCGTTGGCTCGATCAGACGACTCCACGCCGCTTTTCCTCCAAATTTCTCATAGGCTGTCCTGAGGCCGTGAAGCTCGCCGGGGACAGCGATTGAGCGCCAGCCTAAGTCAAATTTATTTTGCTATTTATTAAGTATCGAATTTAGAGAGTTTTCGATTCATTTTCCGGCCTACCGTACTCGCTGTCGTTCCACCGATTCACGTACATATCTTCCGTAGCTGCCAGGGGAGCAACTTCTCGTGCATCGATTGCCCAGCATTTTTGGGAGGTTCTGAAATCAGGAAATTTTGAAAATAAACGTTTTCGGAAAGAATACAAGGAACGTCCAACCAGCTACGATACGCTACGTTAGCTTACGCATTGTAATAAGTCAAGAAATGGCCTCCACCAAGACCGCTGGAATGAGCATCAGTTGCGCCTAGACAGAAAAGTGCCGCTACAGCGGCGTCGGCAGCATTGCCACCAGCGAGGAGTACATTTCTGAAATCATACCAATTTATTGATAACGCCAAAGAATAAATTCGGGGTTAGCTTCTAAAAACCTACCTCCCAATCTCTGAGCAAATCTGATTATCGGCCGCTACGGTAGCTTTCGCATATTTTCCTAGCGGTGTAATCGATGGTGCTGGCCATTGGACGGTCGTTGGAGTTTCGGTATCCTATAAAGGTATCGAAAAGGTAAGGTTAGGGCTTTGAACGCTGTAGTTTGGTCCAAAACCAGGGCGCACAGTGTTAATGTGCGTAAAGAAGCGGCGCGTAGCCAAGCCAACGCGACGCGAGAATCCTCTATACGCGGTAAATCGTGCGCAAACTGCTCTTAGCGTGAAAAAGGGTGTAACGACCCACATTTGTCAGCCACAACGTCAAAAACGTCACAGTTCCGCCGAGTCCTAACAACGCCAAAACCGCCAAGCCATAAGTCAAAAAATGAAGCGTTGTAAGTTTAGATTTCGAATTTTTAGGCTGTTCCTCGATGATGGCAATTTTTTTCGGCAACGAAGGCACCGAATCCGATCTGCCTTCAGAATCCAGCGAATGCGGGGGACTTGGGTAAAAATTGGGCTCGTGGTGGCGGCGCATCGGGAACTTTGGCGAGCAAATGCGACGAAAATCTTATCATTGTTGCGTAGAAGCCGTGGGCTGTAATTAGCCAGCCAAAGAGCGCCGGGTGGGGAAAAGCCGGCTTCCCCAAATGATTAGCGAGGCTAATAGGGCAATAGGTTATTGTTTGATAGCCGGGAAATGTTGAAAAAAACTAGTCAAAACAGTTCTGGAAGTGTTTTTTATTAGCAAAACGAGGAGAAGAAACCTTCGCCTCTATGTGATGATTAATAAAATTTCAGTTTCCAATTCTCAGATTTTACCTTTATCCTTTTTCTGCGTCTTGCATAGTCTTAAACCACTCAAAAATACATGCCGAATGTAACATTAAACCTATAATAACATAAACATGTAATTAAATCTAAAGAGCTTTTCCAAAAAAATGAAAGATTACCTTGAAACATTGAGTTTGAAGCTAAATCGGGCTAAAATAGAGTGAGAAATGTATTAAAAACCGATTTAAACACACTAAAAATATCATTATACAAAATTTTACGTTTTTTTGCAGACGTTAGCGATTTTCTTGCAAAAAAAACCCATGAAATAACGTGAAGGAGAGAGTAAATGGAGATTATCTTGTTAAAGTATCACCTTGTCAAAACCCCAGTATGTATTTTTAGGTATTTTTCAGCGATTCGCGGTAAAGTTTTGATCAAAAACTTCACGCATGGGGGCCCGTCCTTTGTACACGAGCGTTGTCGGCAATAGCGTGCCCCGGCGGATACGGTAGCCCGCGTGGAGCCCGGCGGCGGCGTCATTTCGAATCGCTGCGTTGTCGGACGTTATTTTAGGAAAAAAGGAAAATAGAATGTTGAAATTGACTAAATTAATGAAATTGTGGTCTTTTGAAGTGATTTTGTGGCAGAAAAAAAAGTTTATTGAACGTAAATGCACCTTTATCGTGGCTCGGCTGATTTCATCGCGAGAATGAATGTTTTATTGATTTAAAAATTTGTTTCTAGCGTCGTTCGAGAGTTTTACAGTTTTCTGCTATCGTTTTTTAGTTTATGATGGTTTTTACAGAATGGAACAGCCCATTCTCGAACCGAAAAGCGGCGCAATTCCAGTTACCGGTTCAAATTCTGGTGCTGAGGTCGTCAAACGTCCGGGCCGCGATGGAAAAGTTGTATCAGAAAGTGGTTAGTTCTTTAATATATAGTTTTTAACTTTTTTTAGAATCCCTCTTCGCGGAAGCGCATGTAATTGAATTGACGGACAATTCTTCGAGCGGCCGGCCTCGTCGGACTCGCGGAACTGTGATTGGGTAAAATAATTTATTGTTGAATTTGGTCAATACGAAAAAATGCCAACAAGCCGCGTTGTCTTTAGTTACCTTACGTAATAGCATCCCTTTTCTCGAAAAAAAAGAATGTGCTGCACTTGACGATTTTTTTTCCAGTTCGTGCTGCCAGTACTGCGACTTCACCGCCAATCTGCCGGCTATCCTGCTCGCGCATTTGAAAGACGACCATCCGGGCCTCAAAGTAACTTAAAATTCGCTTTTTTTAAAATCATTTTTAGGTGCCAAAGCCCGAAGTCATCGAGCTGGGCGATCGGTCCTCTATCCAGCACGGTGCAAAAGATACCACGGGCGTCGATAATGAGGTTTGTTCATTCTTACCTTCTTAATCTTGGGCTTTTAGACGTTCGTTCGAGTTGAACACGACAAAGAATTGGACCAGAAAGCCGTCAGCATGCTCGCCGAGGCCGACGCTCCGGAAATGTACGTTTTTACGGTTTTACCAACATATTTCTAATATCGAAAATTGTAATAATATATAGCGCGATAGTCAAAATCTAGTTTTCATAGCAACCGGGTTCTGTCTACTGTATTTTATCCATTTTTCAGTGAGAAAACCGCCGAACTTGACGATACTGTCTACATCCCGGAGATCTTTGTCCATGAGGCCGACATAACGGCGACAAATGAGGTGGTCATCGACGAATATATGGAGAGTACGTTTTTTGCGCAGAAAAAATCGTCCTTGTTTTAGTTGATCAACTACATCTCAGCGTGGATGAGCCCTCCGGATCCGAATTTGGCCTCATCGGCGTCGGCGTCTTCGACGATGGACGAGACGAAGATGAGGAAATCCTTCAAGCGGTCCAGAAGCAGTTCAAGGTGAAGAAATTTACCTTTGAAATGAATTTCGTTTTCTAGCCATCTCATCTCGGTCCGTTGGGCGATCCAAATGGACGCTATCCCTGCTATATACAACGGTGCAAATGGCGTGGCAGGTACCGACAGGCCAGGTGAGATATTTTTCTACTTTTTTTAGACTTTTCAAGCTTATTAAAACGTTTTAAATGAATGTAGAACGGACTAAAACTAGTACTAATCATTTAAATCGTCCAATTTAATGATTTTTAAGCATTTGTTTCATTCCCAGATCCACCCACATGCGTAACGTGCACCCCGACTGGATTCGGCCGCCCCAATTTGTGCTGGATGTAATTTATACGTTTATTTTTTTGAATTTTGGTGTTTTAGCGGATCTCGCGTGACGGCACGCTGCTCCCCGCCAATTCTCCGAGTGCCAGATACTCGTGCTATATCGAAGGATGCCCGTGGAAGGGCCAGTATCGGTGGGCTTTTGAAATTTGCCTAGAAACGCTGTATTTTAGCGCGAGCCGCACAAATCACATGAAGTCACAGCACGCGGGCTGGATCCCGAAAAGAACTCGCGCTCCGAATGTAAGGGGTTTCGTATAGTTTCACTTTACCGGAAAACAGCCATTTTCCCCTGTTTATGTGTCGTTATTCTAGCTACCAGTTTTTGACAGTTCAAGCTTTTTTTGGCGCTGGTCTCTTAGCAGGGGGGGAGGGGCTAAATTTGGCGTTTCTGTAAGCTCAATAATGAAAGTGCAACGTCTGTTTAGCTTTATCCATCATTTTTAAATGTATAAAATTCCTGAAAATTGAAAATAGATGGAAAAAATTTTCGGTAAAAACGTAGAGTAACGTCTATAATAGTCAAAATTTCGGATTTTTATAAATCGGGTAACTCGGGTTTTTCGTGGCTTTTTATTCATCAAAAATTCCTAAAAACGCTCAAAATACAGCGTTTATTATTAACAGGTAGGTAGCTAGCTTTCCCCTTCTGCTAAAAAACCCCTTCCCCCCTGGTAACAGGCTAGTACCAAAAACTCTACACATTTTTTAGGGCGGCCACGTCCAGGGCGCGAACGTACGCTTGCCACGTCATTGGCTGCCCATGGCGAGGCAAGAGCCGCTCGACGCGTGCCGGACACTTGAAGCGCGTCCATCCGGGCTTCCTCAATCCGAAGGCCACGCAGAAAATTGTGAGTTGTAACTTTGAATTTAATTGATAGCGCACTGCTTTCATGTTGTCTTTTTTTTGTTACTTTAGTACGTTTAGCTCCACTGCGAGGAGTGTAACAATGTCGTCAGCACGCACAAGTGCTTCGTCGACCACATGGTCACGCACCACCGGATCGGCGGCATCGTGCAGCGCGAGTTGACAAAGGAGGACGATTATGAGGTCGGATGTTTTCAAAAACGGTTTTTTTTTTTTTTATAGTCATATTTTATTATATAACTTTATTTATGAGAATTTATGCAGGAACTTAAAGCTTTTTTTATCATAATAATAAAGCCACAAAGTTTAGAGTGCGCAAAAAAGGGCATTTTAACGGAATTTCGCGCAGTACTAATTGTTCTTAAAAATCTTATCTCTAAATTATAGTTTGGCAGTTTTAATTGTAAAAAATGCATTATATAGTGTTTTCTGCGCAATTTAAGACTCCGCAGGAAATTCTACTATTGAAATTTAATGTGGTTTTGCAAAATTAATCCGGAAACGCTGGACTTTTTTACAAAGTTGTCAGAAATTGTGAATTTGTTTAATTTTTACTTGTAAGTACGACCGAATACGTAATTAATACTTTTATGTCCCGATTATATCTTATTTTCAGAGCTGGTTCCACGCCGTCCAGGAGTCGTTCGCCATCGATTTCGTCAAGAAGACGGGCATCAGAAATATTCAGGATCTGCAGGTAAATATTAAAATTGTTTTTTTTAGATTTAATTTTAGGTTCTGTACCTGTACTGCTCGCGCTCGGGTGGCCACTGGCCGGACAGGAACCTCGTGCCGCATTGTGCCGTTGGATATCAACCCCGCTTCGCCAAGGTTCTGCCGCCGCGCGCGAAGGGCGAACGGACCTGCGCATGCTTTTTGAGGGTACGTTTTGTAAAAAACCTTTAGCTAAGATATTTTTATATTTTGTAAATTAAGAATTTAGGTGGTTCACTCGGATGACGGACGTCTGTCGATCATCGGCTGCGTCGAGCACACGGGCCATCGATTGGGCACGCCGATGTTGAGGTAAAATTGGCTTTTTTTCGTATTCTAGACAATTTTTCTTTCGCTTTCTATTATTTTTACACATTAAAATGGAATATCACCTTTTCTTTTTTGGGAACAAATTTTACACGTTTGAAAGGCTTTAGTAATCTTGATCTCGAATTTTTAGAATGTTTTTTAGCTTTTTGCATTCGCAAATCTGCCTTTAAAGTTTTAAATTCAACTGCCTATATGACATTTTCAAATTAGAGGAATTAGCAAACTTTCTAAGACTCTCAAAAAAATGGGAATTTTTATTCTTTTTCATGCATTCTTAAACTCCTTTAAAAATAGAAAATCAATGTTTAAAATTGCTGTATTTTCTGGATAAAATATTTTTCAGGCTTTCCCCAAACGAGCGCGACGCGCTGGACGACTATTTGTACACGATGGATGCGAACGCGGCGCTCGAGGTGATGATGGAACGTTTGCGAGGTATTTAATGGAATTACCGTAATAATGAACTTATCCTATCCTATTTTTGCATATAAATCGATTTTTTTTTTAGAACTCGAAGGCATCACCAGCCCCAGCTACACGCCAAAATCGAGGTGCGACGATTTCCACCTCCAATTTGTCTCTGCCCCAACGGAGCGTGAATCACTTCAGAAATTGCTGACGGATACGAAAGTATGTGTTTACTTATTTATTTACATTATTTTCCTTTTTTAGAGATACCCCGATGGAACAATATTCGGTTTCGATGGCCCAGGAGCCGCTTCCGAATTTTCACTATCCGTTGGCTACATGGACGAGCATATGGATAACCTGTGGAAATCGCACGCACACAAGGGTGTTTGCTTTGAAGAGGTACGAAATGGTTTGGATTAACATCAAAATAATTTTTATATATTATGCAGAGATAATTTTCATTTTTAATTCTTGAATTTTACACGAATTTTTTAGTTCAACCTGGCCCTGGGAAATTGGAAGCTGCGCATCACGCTGACGCTGGTGTTCGACGACGACCGGAATGTACGCGTGGCTGCTCTGTACGTCAGTGACCGCCACGACTTGAAGCCGTTGATGGAGAAGCTGGCGTCGGTGTGAGTTTTTTAAAAAAATAGGACGATTTTTGAGGAACTAGTGCATTTGAAGGAGATAGAAATTGCCTGAATCAACCTCTTCCGCCGACTAGGTCGACAACTACGCGACGCTCTAAAAGACGCTTTCATGGCCGGCGTCTTTTGACGCCTGTCATAGCTGACGAGCCCTAGTGGACTGAAGGGTCGATTCTGACGCTTCCTGGTACCTTCAATCCCCTTTTCCAGCTGGACCGGCGAGATCAAGACGTTCGTCATGGACGGCCCGCAGCGTTCCTTGCAGCTGATCAAGGACCACTTCTCGACGGAGGTAAAATTTCCCGGCTTATCTCAGCTAGAAATCTTTTAGGGCCGACACATCGCCGTCAAGTACGCCGAGTGGCATCTACTCTCCGATTGGGCCGCCACGCTCGAGCAGCTGGTCACGAAGCGCGTCGACAAATACAGCATTCTGTGCGTTCTACGTCGGCTTTTGCACACCGACGACGTCACGGCGTTCGACCAGACCGTCAGCGAGCTGTTCGAGGGGCTGCGGGAGATGCAGCTGGACGAGGTTGTAACATTTGAATTTTGATAAGGTTTAATATCTTTTTAGATTGCCCACTTCTTCGACAACCTCTTCGACCCGGAGTTCATCGGCTTCTGGTCACCACTGGGGCAGGACGTTCTGTTCGGCTACGCGAATCCGACGTTGGAATATGCTTGCAGGTGTGTTATTCTATTTTATAGGGATTTTGATACTTTTATAAAATTTATAAGTGTTTTGCTTTTTCTAATTTTGATAAAAAAGTTTTACGATTAAAAAATCTTATGTTCTAGAATGCTACGCGACCGCTACATAGCCTGCGATCAGTGCAGCCGAATCGACGAGTACGTTGGATTCCTGATTGCCCGGCTCGTTGAGTATAATGAGAGCGAGGTAGATTTTCTAATTTCTACGGGGGATTTCGATGTTTTAGATCCTACCCCTCGTCGCATCTCGTGCTCCAGAAGCGTCGACACTTGATCAAGGCGACGAGGACGAGTGGGGCGATAGGTGGTTTAATTTTTTGATTTTATAGTTTTATTTATGAGAATCGTAAAATAAGATTTTGCTTTTCCGTTCATTATATCGTTCTAGCCGCTTTAAATTTAATGAAATGGATAATAAGATTGAGATACCGCGAATATGATGTTTAGAAAGATATAATTTTGTTTAAATATTACTTTAATTTAAACTATTTAAAATTTTATTACGTCTGATTATTTATTAGTAGGCGTTTGTGAATATAAATTTCAATTTTTTTCTTTATAGACATCGAATTACCCCAAATGGCGTCCCGATGCATACCGGAAATGCTGACCGGCTTCACCCTCGCACCTTTGAAGAAATTGTCGTTGGCAGAGGGAGCTCGAACCAGATGGAGCATTCTAATAAGTAGGTTCCTTTGGAAAATTTTATTTTATAGCCACTTTTTATAGCAACGATCAAGAGCTACAAAAGACGCCTGTTGACACCGATCTCCCTGCCCTCGAACGGGTCCAACTTGTCGAGGAGGTGGTGGAGGAGGAGATTGAGCTCTCCGAGGAGCAGGCTCAGGTGGATTTGACTTTAAATATATACAAGTCACTATTTTTAGGTTTTCGAGAAGCTGGTCTTCGACCGCCAGCTCAATCCCGAGGAGCAAGAGCGGCTTTTCCTGCAGCTCGCCGGCGTCAGGGAGGCCGACTTTGTTTTGTCGAGGGTGGGTTTTTCAATATTTTTTTAGTAATATTTTGATTTTTCATAACTATTTTTACTTTAAAGGTCTGTTTAGGATCCAGCCGTCACCCAACGAAGTTCATCTACTTCCGACCGGCTCATCCCATAGTTCTCCGTTACGCATGTAATTTTTATTTTGCGTTCTTGGCGCTCGAATTTTTGAGTTGCTAGCATGTTATGATCTCGTTTCTTGTTTGTTTTTAGCTGTTATTTCCTGTGTTTGTATTGTAATCGAGTTTCTGCCACAGTTTCACGTTGTTTTTGATCATCTCGACTGTTTGTTGCCGAGTTTTTAATTGATAAAATTGTATTTGTTAAGAGCGCTCCTCTTGGCCAGTTGTGGATTCGAAGATAATACCTTCAGAAATGGCAGACGGCTCGTAACGACATTGGTGTGTAGTGGAAATGGGTTAGTGTTCTTTTCCCGGGACAGCCAGAGCAGTTGGCAGCGTTCCCGAGGTGGTAGAGACGCAGTGAAGGGCCCGGGTGGCGGGTCAATCGAGTTGCGGTTGAACTTGAAAGGCGTTGCTTCCTGGGTTTTAATATTTTTTTAATCATTAAATTATAGCTTGTTAAAGATAATTGAAGATTCCCACTTTAAAGCGAATGTTAAGCGTCTTAGAATTTTCGAAAATTTTAATTTTTTTCAATGAAATCGCTATATTTGTATTTTCTTTCTTTTTGTGGCAGAAAAACAGCCTTAAAACGTACATAAAACTCGCAATTATAGAATGGAAGACCAAGATCACATTGTAAATCATCTACTCGCGATGGCGGAATGCCTGCGAACGCAGGAAAACCCAAAAGTCAAGATGGCCATGAAATGTGTATTGGTAAGTCTAAAGTCGCTCGTTTTGTAAGTATACATAATAATAAATATACATAGTTTATAAGCTTTATAAAGCTATATATAAGCTACAAAGCTCCAAAAGCTTATTTACCTTTTTTATAGAGCTGCTTCAAACTTCGAATGTCCCCTCATCTACTCGCGCATTGTAACCTTGTCTATGGAAGGATGTTGTACTACCACACCGAGCAGTTACAACTTGCCAAGGAGTATTTGTTACAAAGTGTAGGTCATAATACTTGTTTTCTAAAAACTAACGGCTTTATAGTACCAAATGACGGCCAACTTTGATGATATCTTCAAAGAAACCCACCTCCAGGCCTTCATTTTGATCTGCGAGATTTGCATGGCCGAGCAGAACTTTGCATCGGTAAGTCAAGGCTTAAAAAAACTGTAGTATAAAACCCTAACTTTGTATAAAAAGTGTTGTAAAATAATTAAATAAGTAAAATAATATTTTTATAATAATAAACTAATAAATATTATATCATTATTTATGATAATTTTCAGATTATACCACAAATGGTGTCCGAAATCCCGGGCGCCCTTGCGTATCCCTACCTCTACCATCGGTTGATTTTGTTATTAACGGTAGGTCGATGAAAGAAGGGTTATTGGCTTGTGTTTTAGAGGTTTTATAGCGTTTTGTAAAATTTTGTAGATAGTGTAGATATAAATACAATTAATTTTTAGGAAATGTACACCATCCAAAGTCGAGCCGAGGACGCTGTTCGTCTACTCGAGATGGGACGGCAAAACGCCCCCGAGAACTCGCCGCTAACACTTTATTACCCGCTGACGGTCAATTTGGTAAGTTGCATAAGAATTTAGATACTTAGGTGAATCAAAAAACGCTGTCGTTTCGCTTAACATAATTTTTCGAATTTTTATTAAGCCGACTCAGAAATCCCGTAAAATAACGGGTTTTCAGAGCGTAATTTCGCAAATTTGGAGATTAAACTTGCTCAAAAGCAACCAACTATTGAAAATCAAACATTTTTAATGTCTAAAGTTTAATACCGCTCCAATATACCCCATTTTCAGGTGAAAATGAAGCTGAACGTGATGGAGGGCCCTGATGATCAGCCACCAGATATTATCAAGAGCATATGCGTGAGTTAATATGGATGCTTATTTAAATGGAACCATTTAAAGTAATTAAACTAATATAAATTGATTCCATTTCGAGCTCCACTTTTTAGGAAATGCCCCGCACCCACCCGGCCGTCCCTAATCTGCATCTGTTTGCGCGCGGAACCCAGCTGGCGTATTGGCTGTCGAGGGGACAGGTTGGTAATCCCAATATCAATTAGAATAATTAAGATAAAGATGAACAAAATATCGATTTTCGAAGAAAATGTTTCTTTTTTTCAGGCAAAAAGCGCGAAGGGTTTCCTCCGAGACATGCAGCAAGAGTCGCAGGTGTACGCCAATTCCGAGTTGCCGGAAGGTTCGTCCAAAAATTTCATCTATTAAATCGCGTTATTAAATCAATATTAAATCTAGAATTCCATTAAATTTCAGGTTTTGTCTGGTGTATGATGGACGTGATTACGATTTTGACTTGTGTCTTCACTGTCGTGAGTTTTTTAGTCTGATTTTCAAAGATTATATGCGAATCATACGATACTTTTTTATTTAAGCCCTTTTTAGCGTTGTCTATTTGATTAATGATGCTTATTTTATTAATTTAAATAATTTCTAGGAAAATCAAACAGATTTTTATAGTTAATGAGGCCTACAACATTTCCAGGCCCATTCCATGACGACCTGTCTGCTTGACAAGGCCCAAAAATACTACGGAATCGCCACAAATCACCTGAAAGCGATGGAGATGAAGCACGCCTCCAAGCCGTACGACGCCAGCACGGCCAGATTGTTGGAGAAGATGAGAATTGTAGGTTCTAAATCCTTAAAATAGTACAGATCAACATCCGCATAAATGTCTAAGTTGTTAATGTTGTTATTATCAAACACAATCGTACAGTTTTTGCCACTATATATCGAATGTCATCATTAAAATTTTGTAGATAATATACTAGAATTTTCACATCCCAAAAAGTTTCTAAAGGAAAATAAATGTGAACAATAAAAGGTGTAAATTCAGATCCTCGACGAGCTGCTCTGCCAGATGAACATCATCTCCTGCCAGCCGAAGAAAGCTCTATTAAATGTGGGTTGCAAAACATGCCAAAATCAGCTGTTCGAATGGTTTAAATAGTATTTATTAACAGAATTACTTACAAAAAATGCGAGCTGATTTTTAGCAATAAAAAATTGAGAATTTAAGCATATTTTGCTTTCAGATCCGCTGCATCCTGGAAATGTCGTCCCGGAATCGGTTCCTAGCGGAGGAATTCTTCCCGTTAACTCATTTGTTACTGGTTAGTCAGCTACATAAAGTTTCAAATTACCGTATTTTCAGGCAAATTACTGTATCTACAACGACGACAACTCGGAGGCGGCCGCCCGGCACTTTAAACTCGCCGTATCGGTAGGCAAAAAAAACTTTAAAATCTAGGTAATTTTTTAGGGTGTGAAAGGTCAACAAACCGGGATAATTGCTCATCTACACGCTGCTCTATTCTACTTGAGGACCTGTCGGCTACGAGATTACTACGCTATTGCTGACAAGTGGGTTTAAGGCAAATTTTTCGGGTTTTTTAAAGGGGTTGGGAACCCTCAAAATCGACCGATTCCATCAACTGGGCCTAGACAACTACGACATGCATTCAAAAACTGCCAAACCCTATCGGTCCGTAAATTCGCGCCGAACGTAGGAAGAACCTAGACCTAGATGCGTTGAACTAGATCCCGGACAGGTTTCTGATCGTTTATAGGAACTGAGAGAGCAAAAATCTATACCCTAATAGAAACTAGGTATCGTCAGCTACGCGACGCTCCAAAGTACACATCTGAGTTGAAAGCCCAGCGTATTTTGGAGTGTGGCGCAGTTGTGGAGACCTAGACGACGGCGCGGGTCGATTATGGCGCTTAGTAGTTTCCTTAAAGGCATACCTTACCAAAAATCCGTTTAATAGAATATTCTAAGGTAATTTCTAATACTTCAGAGTCCACCTCCGATGCCTCGAAGGTCAGACACCTGTCATTGAAATCCTTGGATACACCCTCTACATGTACCACTCATACTTGTTCAATAGGCAGAATGAATTTAGGTAAGTATCCAAGTTGCTAACCAGCTAAAAAGGTGATTACGGTACCCATGTTAATTTTTAGAAGTCACGTCGTTCATAATCTGGGTGCTACGAAAAAACAAGACTTCTTCCGGTTCCACTCCCTCGTCTTTCCAATGTTTTCAACTTACTTTACTGGGAACCCGCAAAATGTGCATTGTGAGTTATAGGAGAAAGAGAGAGAGAGAGATAGAGAGAGATAGAGAGAGAGAGAGATAACTTATCGATTTCCAGCAAGCGTTTGCACGCTCGTCTGGTCCAAAAAGATGGTCGACCACGCGTTGCTCCTATGGACGTATCTGCACATTAAAGGTATGTGATGTCGCCGCCTAAGATTGCATATTTAAGATACCTTTTACTGGTATATATACTACTACCAATAATCCGTAATATTCTTTGAATGCAAGTCAATTTCAGACTTCGTCAGCGAGACCGAGACGGTTCAAGGAATTACCTTGAAGGAAACGGTGGAAAGTATTGAGGTAAGTATTCTATCTTCTCTTTTCCTCCTTTCTCTCTCTCTCTCCCTCTCTCCTCTCTCTCTCTCTCTCTCTCTCTCTCTCTCTCTCTCTCTCTATCTCTCTCTATCTCTCTCTCTTTCTCTCACTCTCTTTTTTTTCGTTCTCTCTCCTCATCGCTCTGTGGTATAATTTCTCTTACCTTTTCTAGGCGGCCAGTGCAGCTCTCGCGAATTCCAAGGTTGAAGCTCGGACCGATGAGCATCACCAAAAATTGGTGAATGTAAGTAAAAGCCGTCAAAATAAAATAATAAAATCAATTTTAGTGGTTCGATGGCGACCCGATGAACTTCTTGCCTCGGGAATTGTTGTAACAAAATGAGTACTTAAAAATTGCTATCCTTTTAAACCCAAAACCTCTATGTTTTGATCGAAGCCAAATTTGCGGGTGAATCCAGTCGAGATGCGGATTCTGTTTTGAAATTGTTTTTTTTCTATTGCACTAGATCTCACTGATGCTGCTTTAGATATAAATATCCGAATTGAGAATAAAGTAAAATTTGTAATTTTTACAAATTAACTCGAACCTCCCCTTAAGAACACAAACAGCAATTCATCAATTTGCAAGCAAGAAAAGTTTATACAAAGAAAAAGTTCAGTACCAACTTTACAAACACCGAATATCATCAAAATTAATGTAAAAAAGGTCATCAAACGTAATTTTTCCCGAAAATTTATAGAGAAAAGTAAGGAAAATTGATTGAAAAATTGCAATTAATGAATGAAGTGCGGTTTTTGATCTGAACTTCATATCTTCGAGATGCTGATCTCGATCTGAGCATCGGCCACGGAAGTCCGAGTGGTAGTGCCCTGATTGCCTTCGGATACTTTGTTGCTTGAGGTCCGCCGCCTTGTAAAGGCATTTCCTCCGCTGCTGGTGTACACCTTCGTGTCGGGGGCTTTACGGCAGCAGATGAAGCGAATGATGGTTTCCCTAAAATTCAAACTCGAGTTTTAAAGCCGAAATCCGAAATTGTGAATATAACCTCGGATGAACCAATTGCACACGTCGGGAGAGATATAGCGAGAGAGGGGAAAAGATTGAGAGAGAGAGAGAGAGGGAGAGAGAGAGAAAGAGAGAGAGACGGACTCACCGATAGCACCGAATAAAGTACATAATCGCTAGTGGTTCCAGGATTGGATCAAACATGACCAGGATGCACATTGGCTCAATGTTCATCGGAATTCCAAATACGGCCGAGCCATTAATGCAGGTTAATGGGAGGTAATTGCAAAACAAAGGGACGAGGAGCTAAAATAGGGGGCATTAAAGGACAAGCTGGGGTCGACTTTTCAACATTAACTTTTTTTGTTAGAGTACAATTTTTTATAACTTTAAAAAACCGGAAGCCGGGAATTGCCAGCTTTTTTTAGAAGCTTTCGTTGCCTTTAGAAGAGTAGAAAATTCTTGATTCTCACCTGAACAACCAGGGCCTTGAATAACTCTTTCTGCAGTGCGCGTGTCTTCTGGCTGACGGCCTCCTTGATCCCGAGAAGCTTGAAGACTTGATAGCCAGAGTAGATGATGACGCTCCAGGTAATCGATAAGATTACGATCAGCATCAGCGTCCCGAAATACGCAATCCACAGCGAGCTGTTCGTGGCTGACTATAAAAATCGATCAACATCTAGTTGTGTGTAGGATGTCGAGGATTTCATGGCGTGTACGGTTAGACCAATCCCGTACCATGACGCCAGATCTGATTTCACGTGGGATATCTCGACTCCTTTTTCAGCTACAAAGCCGTAAAGTATGCCAAAATGCTGGTTAAGGTCGCGAGAAGAAGAAGAAAATTGTTTCAAAACTTAAAAAATTCAGCAAGAAGCAAAAATTTAAGCTTGAACTCAGCCCTACCGCTGGCTCATTTTTCACTACTTTCCTGGTCCCTTTAGGTTCTCAATTTTTGAGTTATGATTTCAGGTGCTCCACGCACCGAGAAGCTCTGCCCGATGCAGCTGGTCTCGTTCAGCGGCCGGCCAAAGTTCTCAAAATACACGCGTGACATGTCGAGATAGACGTCAGGCTGGACGGCGCCGAGGGTCAGGTGACTGTTGATTGTCCAGACGCCGCTGAAAAATAATACATATTGGAATTATTTATGAGGTGTAATGGGTTGAAAATCAACAGTAGACGAGTAACGACATGGTACTCTTCGAAAAATTTGAAAAATCTCTTCTTTTTACACTTTTATACCTTACTTTTTCACTTCCTGAGCCCTTTAAAAATATTTTTCCGGCTCCTTTGTATTTTTTAACCAATTTTCCACCTCTATTTTTGCAAACGTAATCAAATTCATTGTAGTTATGTAAAAACTGAACTCGAACTTCGCATTTGCTAAAAATAAGATTTCGAGAAGCCTGTTGCCCCTAGAGACTTTACAAATTAAACTTGATCCCAACGAAACATTCCCCAAATTTGGCGGTGCAAAAAGTATGGAATCGGAAATCAAAGAACGCGTCTAAATTGCCTTAAAAATAAAAATGAAATCGGCTTATTTAAAAACGCTGATTTTAAATGTAGTCAAAAACTTAAATACAGAGCAAAATAAAAGTTGATTTCCTAGAAAAGAGGTATAAAAAAACTTCCTTAATAACACACCTAAATACCGCATAGACGAAAAAGCAGACAAACAGGATTTCCTTCTTGGAAAGCTTTTTGAAGAAGGACTGCCTGAATTTAAATGAAAAAAAAAAGCTCGACCGGACTTACTCGTTGGCTACCGTATACCGGAAGACAAATTGGAACATGAGTAGGATAAGTATCTGGCAGAATAAGCAACAATAGACGAGTAGCAAGATGTAGTTTAGTAATTTTGATGCGAAAATTGGTGATGTAACTGCCAATACATACGTACGACCGGATACGATCGTTGTCTGGAAATTGTAGCCTTGACCCCACCGTATTCACTCTCTCTCGCTCTCTTTCGCCTTGAACTCACCGGTACGATCAGAAAATCCACGGTAACATACAGCAAATTAAAGACAGAGAATCCGAGTAGTAAGTACGAATATTTCCCAATTACGGTCGACGTCTTCCTGATGATCAGCGAGATGAGCACCAGGTTTAGCACGAATGCGATGATGCATTCGGTGCTGTGGAATTTCCGGAGCTGCTCTTGGGTTAGCATTTCTAGAAAAAACACGGATTTTAAACGAGAGAGAGAGAGAGAGAGAGAGAGAGAGAGAGAGAGGGAGAGAGAGCGGGAGAGAGGGAGACGGAGAGCGCGAGTGAGATAGAGAGAAATAGAGAGAGGTGTGTGGGTGTTCCAAGGAAAATAAAAGAGGACTTTATATAGAACCTTAAAATCCTCCTAAAAATTTGCGGACGTTTTCTGAAACTTTCGATATTAGGTGATGCCAAGGCCCTGGGGAGCCTTGGTGCAGATCAACTTTGCCCCTTCTAGTTTTAACCGGTTGTCTCTTGGGAGTATCAGAAATTTTTGATCCATTACCGCAGAATTTCAAATGGCGCTATTTTGGTCGTAAGTGGGGGCTAGAAATGACCATAAGAAAGTTTAAGGTAAATATTAGTAACCAGACCGTAGAAATTGTCTAAAAATGGCAATTGGTTTGTGCATTAATGCTGAATATATTCCAAGATTTAAGTTCTTTTTTGAAGCGGTAGAAAAGTCTGCCTTCACAGCCTCTTTAAAAAGCCATTCGCAGCAGTCGGGCAACCCGGACCCAAAAATTTCGTTTCCTTCAGGAACGGGGCGTGTCGAAAGAAAAAATTAATTGGAAAACGAAGCAAAAACTGCAAAATCCAGCTGTCGCCCCGGGACCAAGCTTTCAACCGGAATTGATGGGCTATTTTTGGATGTTTTCAAGGCTCCTTAAAGGCCGTATTCTCACGTATCGGGCGGCTTTTGACCTGTGACTCGTGTTTCAAAATTAACTTGGGTAGGCTGGGTACATTAAAAGCCGTGTGAGGTACTCGACAACTACGTTACGGTGGGCAGTTATTAAACGGCCTGAGAGTATTGGGGCGATTTAGGGAAAACAAAGCTTCATTTCTTCGCCTCTCTCTCTTCTCCCCCCTTCGCTCTTTCTTGCGCTTGAACAGGATCAAATTAAGCTATCCTGGGGTAGACAGTCGGAGCAAAAGCTATTGGCTTAGAATCACATTAGCTAATTGTGTTGCCAACTTTCGACTCTGTGTACTGAAAATTGCTTAAATTCGCTACAGTCTTGTGCGAGAATAGCGCAAGGTTTTGTCTTGGAGAGAGAGAGGCAGGGAGAGAGAGCAAGAGAGAGTGGGAGAGCGAGAAAGTGAGAGAGCGAGAGAGAGATAAAGCGAGAGGGCGAGAAAGAGAGCGAAATCCAGAACCGATTTTCGAACAAGTAACGGATTTTTAGAATTAGCGCGAAGTTTCGATACCTATGCGCCATTTTGGCCCTACTAGGCGAGAAGTGACTTGAAAAATACATAGTCAGAGAGCGAATTAATGCCTCAAGGTATAAAAAAACAAGAAAAAGAGAAAACCGAGGAAGATAAAGATAGAGAAAGATGGAAGAAAATGAATTTTTCAGGTTTTACAAAGCCACAACGAAAAAGACGAAAAGTTGCAAACCAGTTTGAAGCAAAACAATCTGGAGTGAGCTTTTCAAGCCCAAGCTCCGAACCCGGCCAAAAACCACCAAAAGTTATTTTGTCGAACACCGGATTCGGCTCCCAAAGAATTGGCACTAAATATTTACGGTATTGGCTCGGCCAAGGCCAGGAAAGGGCTGCTGAAAATTTGGCATTTGGGTAGACGCCGCACCTGGGATCGAATAGATTGAAAATACCAGGTGCAAAGCGCTTTTTAGAAAACGCCCTGCCAACCTCGCGGGTCAAAGCTGACGCGTGTCAGACTAAAGGAAGAGACAGTGTAGCGGGGTTCAAGGCTCGGGAAGTACTTTCGGAATTTTTCGGAAAGATCAGCGCCAACATCTGCGGATGCAGGTGAAGTTTTGTGGACGTAAAGGCTAAAACACAAGGTTTGCAGACTGTTTTCAGCAAGAGAGAGAGAGAGAAAGAGAGAGAGAGAGCGAGAGAGAGAGAGAGAGAGAGAGAGAGAGAGAGAGAGAGAGAGAAAGAGAGAAAGGGAGAGCGAGGGAGAGAAAAAGAGAGAGAGAGAGGGAGAGAGAGAAAAAGAGAGGGATGGAGGGAGAGAGCGAAATAGAGCGATCGAGATCAAGCGAGAGAGACAGAGAAGGACAGAGGGGGTGAGAGAGAGAGAGAGAGGGGGAGGAAGATTCTTTGTACATATCAGCAGAACGGAATCAAGTACAAAATTTATTAACGTTACTCAGGTATCGATACGAAAATTTCGGGTTTTGCCCCGCTTGGTCCTTCGGTAGGCTCGGCACCTCCAGCAGCACTAGTCGAGTTCGCTTTGATTTGTTGGGAGAATTTGGCGTTTTGACTGGAGTACACTTGGCTTCCGGTGACGCTCCGGCAGCAGAAGATACGGTAGAATGAGGTCCTGAAAAATGCGTTTTTCCCGTGGAGTGAAAGACATAAAGAGAGAGATAGATAGAGAGCGAGAGAGGGCGAGAGAGAGAGAGATCGAGAGAGAACCTCACTCACCTGTAGCACTTAATAAAGTAGATAATAACGACCGGCTCGATAAATGGGTCGAGCATGAATAAAAGCCCCGTGAGCTCGAGATCGACAGAAATTCGGAAAATGGCAGAAGCGAAGATGAGGCTCATCGGGAGGTAGTTGAAGAAGAGCGGAATGAGTAGCTAAAAAGGCCTATATAAGCTAAATTTTAATAGCTGAGGTGCGTTTGATCACCTGATTTTCATTATTCAATTCTGCTGCGAATCTGCATTACATGTTGGGTATTTTAAGAAATTATAGATTTTTACTAATACCTGTATAACCAGCGCTCGAAATAGTTCCTGCTGCAAGCTTTTCGTCTTTTTTGCTGACGATCCTGGCGGTGCTCAACGCATTGTAGACGTTGTAGCCGGAGTAGATGATGACCATCCAGATCGAGGCCAACATGCCGATTACCAGAAATGTGCCGAGGTAGCCCACCCAGAGATCGGGGTTGAGTTCGGGCTGAAAAGTGCTTAAAACCTCAGAAACACATTATCACCCTCTCTCTCACTCACTCACTCTCCCAGTCTCCTTAGTTCTCTCTCTCTCTCTCTCCTCTCTCTCTCTTACTCACATCATAGCTGATCCCAATAAATCCAGTGTCATTCAGGCTTGAGCTGAATTTTTCACTGTACAACCTCTCCATAGCAGCATAGACATTACTGTCATGAGGAGTCATACAAAACAAGACATCTAGCGACCAGATAGTACTGTAAATATTGCATAATTACATCAAAATAGAAAATCCAAACACCTGTAGGCGAAAAATATGGAAAAACACATCAAAGCCAGTTTAGGTTTGGATATCTTCCAAAGGAAGGAGTTTCTGAAAAAGGTTGGCTTCAATTTCCTGATTTTTCATCAGTTGCGCGCTCTCCCTCTCTCTCGCTCTCTATACGCGCTGAACTTACCGACAAACTTGAGCGTATCTGTAGACAAATTGGAACATTAAGAAGACCAGAGTTTGACAGCACAAGACGCAGTAGAGTATTACTGGGATGTAATTCAGCCATGGTGTCGGTAATGAAACTGACAGATTTACTAGCATGAATGTGTGTCCGGAGACGATATTGGCCTAAAAACTTGAGCATGAACTTAAGCTAGTTTAAAAAATATTAAGTGGTTGTCTGAAAAAAAAGAAAAATACCTGGTATAATGAATCCGGTTCTCTTTTGCCTTTCAGAATTTTTCGGCGTTTCCGATAATTTTAAAGCCGTGTTTTGATACTTTACTGACTTACGGGAGCAAATAGCAAATCCACCAAAACGTAGACGAGGTTGATAATTGAGAAGCAGAATAAGAGATATGCATATCGGCCGACAACGCTGTGTTTATTTTTGAGGATCAGGAAAATGGCCAGCAAGTTCAGCGCCAAGCCGATCGACGAGACGCCAGCGTGAATTTGGCGGATCATGGCTTTTGAATACATTTTTCTAAAGTTAGACATTTTCAAAATTCATCGATAAGTACTAAAAATTTACCTAAAACGAGCTATAACAGATGCAAAATTAGATACAACGAAAAAAGCAACAGAATTGTTCAAAAAAAGAGAAAACCCCTGATATAATCAATTTTTCATCTGAATTTTCGAAAAAATCATAACTGATGTAAAAAATCCAGAGAATTAAATAATGAAAAGTTGCGCATACTGGCAGTATTTGTATAGGCCTGGTGATTACGTAATTACGTAATTGGCGCCAGAAAACAAATCGAAAAATGACGCATTGGGAATCTTACCGCTTTTATAGCTACAAAACGGGCAAAAATAAAAAGACGCGTCGAAAATATTGGTTGTACTTTTGGCTATTGTAATTTATTAACACAAACAAAAAGAAATTGCTTATATTGCTAGATTGCTTCGATACCTTGTCTATGAAAACAATTTACGGATGCTGGCGGGTGACTTGAAGGTGGTGGGGAGGGAAAATGACTGGCTATGGAAAAACCAAATTTGGATCTCCGATAATTTATTTTCACGCGGCAAGATCGGACCGTCAGACTGGCCAATTGAAAGCACAACTTTTACAGGGCCAACCGGAAGCGTAACTAGGTGTATTCTGTAGTTTGACAAGGCCTGAAACAAGGGTTTCACGCCTTTTTTGAAAAAGCTCTGCAAAATTAGCTTTCACGGTCCTTTGCATAGTTTTCGAGCTACAAAAAAATCAATACAAAACCTATACGCTGCAAAAATTGCATGGCTTATACGGTGCATACATAAAACCTCGAAATACTCTCCTGACTATTCTAATGGGACGCATGGGCTTGTGTCACGTTGTTTCCCGGTGTAAAAAAAATTAATCTCTTCTGGTCGGCCCGCCTGGTAGAAAAAAGGTGGTAAAAAGTTTATTGTAGAAAACCAGAGTAAAAAGAAGCACAACTATTGAGGCAAAAATTGTGGTATAAAAATTTTTGTTTGGGAAGAACGTTTAGATAGAGAAATCTTCGCTTTGGGTGGCCTTTGTAGCCTTTTGGACCGACCCGTATTCCGCAACCAAAAAAACCCAAAAATCGGCCAAGATGAATCGGGTAAGCCAAAATTCGCATATCCTACTTTTCAGAAGGATAGCAAAATCAGATCAAGCCATATTTCCCACCGTGAATTTATCGTAGCCCTGGAAAGGAACGTGCCAAAACGTTGGGTAAGAAGCTACAGGGTTCGGAAAATCACACAAAGATACAAACGATCACTTCCGAAAAAATAATCCGAAGGGTTGTAGTTGAATCACGCTTTCGGCAAGTACGTTTTGATTACACCGGTGAGAAAGTTAATTTTTCCGAAAAGTCTGAGCCTAAAAAAATACAAAAATTAAAGTATACCATACGATACGACGATCTCGTCGTTCGAAAGCCTCGTTTAAAAACGCAAAGATGCAAGGCTTCTGCCCGCAGCGCGGCCGCTACGCGTCGAACCATAGAGACGACCAACCGTCTATTTTGAGAATCATAAGGTGCTCGAATGTGCTCGAATGTAGAGCTCAAGGCCTATCCAAAATCATCAGAAAGGCGTTGCTCTCTAAAAACACAAATCACAACACAAAACAACAAATCTGATTTTATGGGTTTTCCAGTACAATGGATTTAATTTTGGCGCTTAGCACTAGGGAATTGACCTCTCAAAAATTAAGCAACACTAGGTCTGATCGGTATTCTCTAGAGAATAGATGATCAGAAGTGTTGTTTTGCTAGTACTGGGAGGTATTGCAGCTCTTTTTTACGTTTTTGCGGTCATTGGAACCTAATAAAAAACTGTGATGAAGAGAGAGCGAGAGAGACAGAGACGGAGAGAGTGAGAGAGAGACAGAGGGGGAGAGAGAAGGAGAGGAAAAATTGCGGAATATTTTGCCATGACTGTATTTATACCTGTTTGGCCCCCTACTACTATTCAATTCAAATATTTACACGTATCCAATTCCTGAATAGGCCCAATAAGTCCTGCATTTTTTATTTTTTGGCAGGTTCGAATATTTGGCTTGTTTTTACTTTCTAAAATTGCATTTTGCACGTTTTTTGGGAGCCCGGAAGTATGAAAAAAATGATAAATATGCTTTGTTTACGCGTCCGTAATTTGTACATTAATGGAAGCGGATCGGTGATGGGAGCTCGAAGGCTTCGGCATGGTTTTTGACCAATCGGAGCTGACTTGACCATGTTTGCACAAAGCCCAACGGATCAGCTTCTTCCTGAAATATTGAGTTGATTAGAACTTTCCGCAGCAGTGGATGCGTAAAAACATCAAAAATCAGGACAGAAGATTACCTATAGCACTTAATAAAATATATTATGACAATCGGCTCCAATATAGGGTCCAACATGAAGAGGACCGTCATCGGCTCAAGGTTCAGCGGAATGCCGAATATTGCAGACAAAAATACCGAACCCATCGGGAAGTAGTTGAACGTCATCGGGATGAGGAGCTGGAAAAAATAATTTCTCTCTCTCCCCCTCTCTCCCTCTCTCTCCCTCTCTCTCACTCTCTCTCGCCTCCTCTCTCTCGAACGTTGCTCTTTCTTGTTTCTATCGTTCTCTCGAGATATCCCGCTTTCTCTCGCATCCCCTCGCTCTCCTTATCTCTCTCTTTCCCTCTCTCGTTCTATCACCTGTATTATCAGTGCCTGAAACAACTGCTTCTGCAGCCTTCTCGTCTTTTCGCTGACCGCCACTCCCTCATGGAGATTACGGTATATTTTCCATCCACAAAAAACGATCACCCCGCACGTTGCACCCAGAATGGACAACAGGGTGCATATCCCAATATAGGCAGTCCACAGGGACCCGTTGATTGCCGGCCGGAAATTCGGGAATTTCGGCGAAGTGTTGTTTTGCTAAGATGTACCCTACAAAGTCCAGAGTAACTGGGCACGAAAAACATATTCTAGAACTTGGAAATGATTTGCTTCTGGACGGAGGGCCGTCAGACGGAAGGAAAACTTTTCAATTACTCAAACTAGACGCTAAAACACCCTAGAAACCCGTAAACAGTCATACATCGTAGCTCTGGCCAAGAAATCCGGTGTTCGGGATGTTGTCCATTCCCAGGTTGGTGGTGAAAATGTGTCTCATAGCCTGTGACACGTCCTCACCGACGGCTCCCATCGAAAAGTGCGTTGTGGTCGTCCAAGCTATACTGAAAAGCCGAGGATTCTGTTAATGGTTGTGGTACAAGTGAAGAAAGTATATTTTCGGGGGAAAGCGGCGAAATGTGCTTTGATTGAGAGAGAGAGAAAAAGCGAGAGAGAGAGAGAGAACAAGCTTATCTAAAACTTACGTAATGGCGATGAAAACCGAGACAGCCAGGCCAATGTTGTTTTTCGAAGGTTGCCGAGGTAGCGGATTGTTTCTATTACTGTAGTTAATAATTGTTTTCCTACTTAGTTCTATTATCAATTTTTCGAGGCCTGCTATCGTAATTTTTTCATTTTCCTGACTTCAAAAACGGAATTTTTTTGCTAAAATTGTGCGTATTCTTCGGTTTAAGATGAACACTACTCACCTACAAACCACAGAATATCGATAGACGAATTGGAACATTAACAGGACGAGGGTTTGGCAGAATAAGCTGCAGCATAGAAGTAATGGTAGGTAATTCCAAGTGGGATTCTCGAATTTAGGAGCTGTATCCACAAGGACGAATGTTCTTCCGGATAGCATAATCACCTTAAAAGAAATTTTTCAACCACCCTTTGGTTCTATCTTTCTCCCTCTCTCGCTCTCTCTCTCTCTCGCTCGCTCTCTCTCTCTCTCTCTCCCTCTTTTCCGCTCTCGCTCTCTCTGTCTTTCTGTCTGTCTGTCTCTGTCTCGCTCCTGCTCGCTCTCACTCTCGCGCTCTCACTCTCCCTCTCTCTCTTTCGCTCTTAACTCACCGGCACGAACATAACATCCGCAATCGCATACACCAAATTACACAGCGAGAAACCGAATAGTAGATAAGAATACTTTCCAACAATTTTATCTGGGGTCCTGATAACCAGTATCATTAGTAGAAGATTCAATAATGCGCCCAGGCTGCATTCCACAGTATGAATCATCCGAACCATCGCCGGGGACATTGTAGAGTGAACTGAAGTAAGTGAGTTATCGTTTGAAAACCCGGGGCACAAACTCAAACGGAAAATACAATTCTCTTGATGAACCTGAGAAGCTCGAATCTGGGGTTGCCGCAATGTTTTTTTTTGACGGCTTCGATTCCCAGGCGACGGTTTGGCAAATTGGGCGAGGGGCCGTGCTTTCGGGCAAAATATATAAAGTTTCAACATTTGTGTTTCGTCTTCCACATAAAAAACTTTTAATAAGTCTAGATTTTATTGTTTCTGAAGTTTTTGCTTAGTGCACAAAATGAGACGAGGTCCGTCAGGAGTACCTCACGCAGGTGAAATGTAGAGTCACTTTTCTCTCATACTTCGACTTAAATTTAAAGATCAATCGGTCCAACCCAAATGAATCCTTCTCATAATCATACCTTATAAAAAAAATTATTATTTGTGTAGAAAAATAGAATAAATAGCGACCATGAATGTAGCTTTGCTTTAGCAAAACCTTTTGCGGTTTTTTGTAAACACCGATAATGTCATCGGATGCTGAAAAAAAAACAATGAAAATGAAGGTTTTCGAAGTATTCTGACTTTCTGGATACGTCTATTTCCTAAACTTTAAAAAACCGACGGGGTGAACGATTTATCAAAAGTTTGATAAAAAATTACTCATAAATTATCAAAATTACTTAAGAATGATCATCAAAAGTTCCAAAAGCAATACATCTGTTTAAGAGCAACATTATGGGTTTGGTCCTATAATTGTGAGGTCTCTCCGGGTCGCTCGCCGCTAAAAATCGCCCTCTAATTCCGGGTTTAGCGTAGCCGCCGGCGGAAATTAGGTTCAACTTCCGGGCTACACGTATCGCCCTAACCAGTGATCTATTTATTACTATTTATTTGTTTTGAAAGTTTTCAGACATCGGTAAATTGGTGACAAAGTGTTTTAAACATTAAACATGTATACTTGATTATTTTCGATGTTTGGGTGAGATTTGGTACTTTATTTTCCATAAATTCTTTGTACTCATTCTGTCTCATATTCCGAGGCAATATATCGAGAGGAGCGGCGCTGAAAAATACAGAGTTCCGGCTCAGATTTGTAGAGTGACTTCAGTATGGTGAGTCGCTGAAGTGGCTGGCTTCGGGAGGCTGACTTGCCACTGGGTTGAGCCGATCCGCGCGTCTCTGCCGTAACGCCAGCACATGGCCCAGCGCTTGAATTTGTTTCTGGAAAGTGCGGGTTAGTCGTGAAAATCTCGCAGAGGGAGTCGTGCGGTTAGTGAGAGAGAGAGAGTGAGCGAGAGAAAGTGCAAGAGAGAGAGAGAGAGAGAGAGAGAGAGAGAGAGAGAGAGAGAGGGAGAGGGATTGTGAGGAGTGTGTCAGAAAGTAGTGTTCCATGCAAAATTACCATACCTGTAACACTTGATAAAATATATAATAACAAATGGCTCGAGCAGAGGGTCGACCATAAATAGGACACACATCAGCTCTAGTTTCAAAGGTATCCCAATCATAGCCGAGAAGAAGAGCACCCCCATCGGGGTGTAGTTGAAGAAGAGCGGGATGGTTAGCTGAAATTTGCGATACAGACATTTAGGAAAAGAGAGTGAGAGAAAAAGAGAGCGGGAGAGCACGAGAGAGAAAGAGAGAGAGAGAGAGAGGGGGGAGAGAGAGAGAGAGAGAAAGAGAGAGGGAGAGAGATATTTCGTTTAGCGTCCTCCTGTCTCACCTGTATGATCAACGCCTTGAACAGCTCCTTCTGCAGCCGCCTGGTCTTCTCGCTAATGACCTTGCTGGAGGCGTGTAGCGTCTTGTACACCTTCCACCCCGAGTAGATGATCACCGCCCAGCTGACGGCGAGCATCGCTAATAGGTTGCATGTGCCGAAATAGGCCACCCAGAGGCGGCTGTTCGCGGAAGGCTAAAACAATAGAATTTAGTGTAGAAGACGGTTGAAAGCTAATGTGTTCAGACCATGAAAAAATGGAAAAATGATTTTAAAGAAGGTTTTATGTAAAGGAAAAATACAAAAATACAAAAATACAAAAATACGTATTAAGTCATCATGCTAGTCGTGCGTTAAAGATAATTATTTTTTTAAAGTATTTTTGCAGAACTCACATCATAGCTCTGCCCCAGATACCCAATAGCCGATAGATTTCCTTCGAATTGTCGCTGATAAATTCCTGACATTACGGCGAAGACGTCTTCATGTACAACTCCCATAGACAAATGAGTATCCAGGGTCCAGGCTACTCTAGAAAACACAAAAAAAAATTGGACTACAAGATACCGTAACTTACGCAAATGCGACAAAAAGCAGAAAACATAGGGCAGCGCATTTCCGGAAGTTGAGCCGGCTGAGGAAGGAGTTCCTGAAAAAAAACAATAAAAAAGGAAACTTCTACAAAAGAAATTCGCAAAAGGGAAGGCGAGCGAGAGAACGTGAGCGAGAGAGATAGCGGGAGAGAGAGTGAGAGAGAGAGAGAGAGAGAGAGAGAGAGAGGGAGAGAGGGAGAGAGGGAGAGGGAGAGAGAGGAGAGAGAGCATGAGAACACTCCCACCAAATTTTCAAGTCACGTGGTAAATTCTTTAGCCCAGAGAGCAAAGAGTACAGTCGCGTGCTCACCTAGTCACCATAGCATATCGATATACAAACTGGAACATGAGCAACAGGACGGATTGGCTGAACAGGCAGACATATAGCATTAGAGGTATATAATTAAGGAATGGGTTTTCGAAAAGCGGTGATAAAGTGACGAGCATCCATGTACGTCCCTCGAGGATTGTTGTCTGGAATTTGGAAGGTGTTTGTGGAAACGCGGTGCAAAGAAGGGACGAGAAATCTATTAATATTAGGAATAACTAAAATTTACCACACCTTTAAAACGCTCAAGATCTATCACGTACCGGTACGAAGAAGATGTCCACAACGGTGTACAAAAAGTTGCAGAGTGAGAATGAGAACAGAAGATAAGAATATTTCCCGACGACACTGTGCGGTGTCTTGACGATTATGGTAAGTAGCAGAATATTCAGAATAATGCCGATTGTACAAACGATGGTATGAGAGTGGCGGATGAAGGATTGGAGCGTGATTTCGTGTCCGAAGAGGTCGAGGAGCGGCATTATCTGAAATTTTAGGTTTTATTCAGTTGTGCTTTTGGAGAGAGACAGAGAGAGAGAGAGAGAGAGAGAGAGAGAGAGAGAGAGAGGGAGAGAGAAAGAGAGCGAGGGAGAGAGCGAGGGAAGAAAGAAAAAGATATAAAGAGATAGAGAGATAGAGAGTGAGAACCTAAGCTCAGACTCACCTAAACCTGAGCTAAACCTAAGCTAAACCTGAGCTAAAAAAGTTAAGCCTAAGCTATGCCTAGGTTAACCCTAAGCTAAGCGAAGCTAAGACTAAGCTAACTCTAAGCTAACGCCAAAGCTTAAGCTGCCGTGCCAAAACCAAATATTTCGCCAGACAATCTCCGAGATATGTGCTCTCTTAAGGAATTCACCTGCCGTTTTAGTTTACTTGAGGGTGGCGCAAAATATTGTGTGCCCGCCTGGTCCTGTGTATTTTCCTGATTTCCGGTAAAAATAGCGGAGGCCCGAAAATCGGTAAATGACCACTGCGGCGCGACGATAGTAAGTAGGCTCCGTAAGGTCTAATTTTGAACCCACTTTGCGGGCAGGTGGCGCGCGGAGATTAGTGCATTGTTGATAGTGGGATAAAAATGACGATGTTCTGGAACCAGAGCTGCATGAAACGTACTGCGCGTAACGGAATTGTACAATGATCGGGTTGAGCTAGCCGTTTTATAGCCAAAAAACCCTTGCCAAGCCCTACTTCGATCTTGCGAAAAATCACGAGGACCTAAAGCGGCGAATTTGACGAGTAGGGTTAACTGCCAAAAGAAGGCAAACTCGAGGATGCGAATGTCCAATTTGAACTGGAAAGCTTGGAATTATTTTCGAAGCTTCGGCTCCAGGCCTTAAGCCAGGTGATATTCGTGTGCAAAAACGTTTCCAGCCTCGAAAAAGCTCTGCAAATCCGGCTTCAGTCAAATTCGAGGCAGCTGGAAATTGACCGCCCACGAAACTGAAAATGGCATAACCGATACTTGGATTCCGGCTTTTCCGGAACTTGCCTCAAAACTGGTCCGCTTGGTTCAGACTAGTGACTAGAAAACTATCTAAACTTTTAGCCCTTTCCTGGTACAAGCAATCGCACCGGCGTGAACCTAATTTCCGGTACAGTTGGGGGTACGGTTCCGGTAAGGTCGGACGGGATGGGTGTAGTTCAGGAACCAAACACACGCAATGTTGCCGAATTGGCCGAAAATCAGGTTAATCCATGATCCGATTCACAGGGTAGTCTTAGCGTATTTTGCTCCGGAAGTCAAGGTACGAATCCGGAACTTAATTTTACGGTTTCCGAAGAAAATGGCAAATCGCAAAATTGGCACTAACAAGCCTAGAAACCGGGTTGTCTGTCTGGGGGATTCCTAACTTTTAATTTATATTTTTGCATAAGACTTACGAGAAACGGTAAAAAAATTCCTAAAAATTCCAAATTTTGCTCGAAATCTTTATTTTTGCATTTTTTTAGAAGAATTTTCAATCTATTAGTTGCGGATTGCGCTAAAAACTCACCAAAAACAAATTAAGACACAAAAAGATTATAAACATTTAAGATAGCCATCGAATATCGGCATTTTGTATTTTTAATGTAAATTTGTAACCTTTGTTGGGTTTTGGCGGTTCTAGTTACCAGCGTTATGCCAATTTATGGGTTCCCGGTCCCTTTAAACCACCCAAATCTCCCTGGAGTTTTGCCAAACCACGCCTACTTTCTAATAATACATAGATCAAGTTCTCGCCGTGTACCCCATTTACGTGAATATGTATAAAAAATCTAATTAACGACCAGAAAAAGCATGTGGCCCCTCATAAAAGATAATTTTTTTATGCCCGGATGCGCTTCCTGAATAGCCGTTGCATTGTTGGACCAGGACCAGGGCTTATTTTCCGGTTAACCGCACCTGGGGGCTAATACTGGGTTACGGTAGGTGCTGCTGTCCCCAGGGTAGCTTATGGGCTGCAAAAAGGAGGATAAAACAATATTGAAGGTTAGGCAAAGATTGAAGTAAATGAAATAAGTGATTGAGGCCTCGTTGAACTGATTCTAGGCGGTTTTAGGTACTAGATTGTTAACGGGGGGCAGTTTTTCGACAGTAATATTTACGGCCTTGTCACAACATATAAGATTTTTTGCCACAAAAAGCGCATGAAAAGTTTCATAGATTATTCCGGCAGTAACAGGTTACAAGCAAAAAATAAATATAGATTCCTCCCCCGCTAACAGACCGGTACCGTGATTTAGAGTAAGTGAGATCGGAAGTCGGGTCAGCTACTGGAAATTGCCACCCGCCGCGAAAAACAGAAATCTATGAAATAAACTCACTAAAATTAAAGCTGCAAACCGCGGCACGATGTACCATAGGAAAATTAGGCACAATTCTGATTCTGGATCTAATAAAATCAATTTAAGTTCACTTAATTAACACACCTTACCAAAACGAGCAATTCGATTCCGAAATTACAGAATTAGGAATCCATTTTAAGCATGGCTAACTCGAACGAAAGCCGTTAAAGAGCAAAACTCCAGCCAAAAACCATGTAATGTCCGTGAGAAGTTCAAGGCTTTTTGAGGGCTACGATGCTTCCTCGGACTTTGGTGCTTTGTAGCGTAGTGACAAATATGGAAATATCACGTGTTAGGTCGTATGAGTAATGTTACAAGCTTTTGGACGCTCAAAGATTTGTAATAAACGATACTTTGGTTGAGTTAGGTAACAAAGCATTATAATTCCTTAAGCTCACTAGGCCATTTCTTGAAGTTTACGAACCATATTGGAAATTTTGCCATTCTCCGATAAAACATTGCAACCTTGAACCGCATGTAGGCAATCTAGGAATTCTTGGAAAAATAATGAAAATTTCAAAGCCGCGGAGCTGTCCTGGACTGTGAAAGTCTCACGAATCTCAGCCCAGTTGTTCGCTTCTTTATTAAGCTCGGAAGTCGCGGCCGAAGTTTCCATGATACTCCAAACTTCCGTGCAAATGAATTTACAACAATCGAAAAATTCTGATCTATTTATTATGAAATTTCGACAACAGCAAAAGTCGGCAGTATAGGATTTCGGCATTAAAACTATCGAGCTCATCAATTTTGATATTGTCGATTTTTTGCGGTTACGAGTTGAAAATATTAAATACTGACATCTCGAATACCAGCCTCGTGCTTTTTGATAGTTTGAAAATAAGCCCTTATTAAGCTTACACTTCATAGATTATTTGGCTTGTTGATCTTTCATCGATTTTTTTGTCTCCATCCCTTAATTGTTGTGATTTGAATCCGTGCCAAAATAAAACTTTCAGAGTCTGTTCGTTGACTTTTTGTTTGCTGATTGAGTAATATCTTGCTATTGCTGTGCGCGTGCAAGGATATTGGGATATGGCGGGTGCAGAACCCGGGATGAGACTGCGAGACGTCAAAAGAGCACTGGTCTCTGTGCTTTATGATCAACCCGTTCCTTAGGATATTAGGAGAGAGAGAGAGAGAGAGAGAGAGAGAGAGAGAGAGAGGGAGAGAGAGAGAGCGAGGGAGAGAGCTAGAGAGCGGTTATTGGAGAGATAGAGAGAGAGACTAAAATAAGATCAGGACCCGAGATTCGAAAGTCAGATGCTACTATGACGTATTAGTACAGCTACCGCGCTATGGCCTTTCCAGTTAACAACCCAGGGTTGAAAGCGTGTCTTGGAGTGGCGCGTAACGATCGAAGGCCTGCGTCGATCCGGGTGTATTCCCAGCTCCTTTAAAGGTGCTATGACAGGCTGGAAAAACACGCCAATGACGTATCAGTACAGCTCCCGCGCTCCGGCCTTTCCAGTTAACAACCCAGAGTTGAAAGTGTGTTTTGGTCTGGCGCGTAGCGATGTCCCTGTCGATACGGGCGTGTATTCCCAGCACCTTTAAAGGTGCTATGACAGGCTGGAAAAAAACACGCCAATGAAGCGGGTACTGGAGCATTGGCTTGGCTCCGTCCTGGAAGGTTGCCTACGCGTAGCTCCTATATACGCCCTTACTCTACTCGATCTGTACAGTGGAGCGTGGTGGTCTTCAAAAAAAAAATGAGGACTCGATGATCCAGTGTACATGTCCACTTTGTGGGATGGCTGCATAATACGCTTTTAGTTTAATTCCATCATAAAACATTAGTTTTCGTCCACTACATGATCACGCTTTATTTTCTCTTATAATTTGACGGTTAGGGTCGTTGCAAAGTTCTATATTGCAAGTGCAAAATATTGCGCATCTAAAGTACCGTAATTGACCATTTTTAAGACGTTTCATACCTCGATTCTAGTCTTTTCTCCTCAAATCACAAGACGCCGCGTCCCAGTTCGGTGCACGGCGAACTGTGACGATTCGACCAAAGTCTTTGACATGTGATATTTTGAGGGGCAGAAAGAGAGAGAGAGAGAGACAGAGAGAGAGAGACAGAGAGAGAGAGAGAGAGAGGGAGAGAGAGAGAGAGAGAGAGAGCAAGCGAGAGAACCTGGAGATGATGGTGATTGGGTGAATTGGCTGGTGCAGTGATTGGAGGCAGGCTATCTGGTGTCAACTCATCCTCAAATCATCGAATGATTAAAGACCCGCCATCGAGGGAGGAACCCCAAATTTCCGCGTCCCCTCGTCTGCAGCCGCTATAAATTCGGCCGCTCCGTTGACAGTTCAATCTCGCGTTTTGCGGGGTTTGCACGTGCTTTTCTGGAAAATTTTGTAAAAATCGGCCTGCTTGATTTTGTTTATTTAAATTTGATCGGATGAAAGCAAGACGAGGTCGTTTCCAATTTTTAGTCACTACCTTCTGAAACGTTTCGTTTTCATAATTTTAAATTTTTGGAACGCGCCCGGCCGGCTTTTCCACGAGCGTCGTACATTTTCCTAAAGTCAGGCTAATTTGGCAATCCCCAGCACAAAAAAAAAGATTGTTGGGAAAATTAACGTAAAAATTTTTATCGACTTTTTGCGTTAAAGTACCCTAACGCTAGACTACAGTTTCCACTAGCAATACTCTACTTTTTAGCCGACTGACTGTACCCACGGCGAAATCGACTCTTTGCCAAATTGCACTGATTTGCTTCCTTGAAAAAGTTCTCGTTCATGGGCTTTTTTCACTTTAGGGAGCAGTTCAGCGTGCGAATCCTGGCCCGAGAACTGGGCTAGGCAGGTTCGTAAATTTTCAGCTGTCAGTATCGGGCTTTGTGGACTTCTAGGAACCTCTACCAAGCTTCTCTGAATCGGCGATCAGCTTTTTTATTGTTTTTCAAGAAGTATTTTTCGCGATATCGTCATTTTTTGCAAAGAGCCATTTAATTCGAGAGAGAGAGAGAGAGAGAGAGAGAGAGAGAGAGAGAGAGAGAGAGAGAGAGAGAGAGAGAGAGAGAGAGAGAGAGAGAGAGAGAGAGAGAGGAGGAGGAGGAGTGAGAGAGAGAGAGGGGGAGAGAGAAGCAGATAGCGAAAGAAAGAGAAAGAGAAAGAGAGAGACGGAGAGAGTGAGTGAGAGAGAGCAAGAGAGCAGGGCCGTAACAAAGAAGGCAAAAAATTTCTGGAAAAAATAAATCATAAGGGTCCCCCTTATGAACTTTTCGGCCTTCGGCCGCCGATTTCGGGGGGCGCGCTGCCCCTCGCCCCTCTTACGGGCCTGCAAGAGAGTGAAAGAACCAGCGTGAGAAAGAGAGATTCATAAGCATAGCTACTGCGAAACGATATCTTAATTATGTTTCATCAGCTAACACTTACTTATTGCATGTTTTTCCTTGCCGGGCCAGCTATCAGGCAGCGGCTCGCACAACCACTCGATCATTTCCAAATCGACGCGACGTTTTTTGCGGGGTAATCGCTCGGTTATTTCACGTCTCGTCCCCGCCAACGGTTGCCTCTCGCGCATTGGGATATGGCTTTTGGATCGGGACTTCGACCCAGACGATCCATCATCCCGGCTCCCACCACCACCACAGCCATCAGTCGAACAGACTTCGTCTTTGGCGTTTCCACCCTCATGCCTCCTAAAAGACGCCCTTGGCTTGCCGCTCTTGAGGGTGCTAGACTTAGAAACTGTGCCTGCCTTTTTATATGGATACTAATCGTTAAACTCCAGAAATTTACTAGATAAAGAATAAAATCACTAGTCCGCCTTTCTTCTATCGCTTTTTTGCGCGTTTAGCAGTAAACAAGTTGGCAAAAAGCTCTTTCTCGCTTTCTAGCTTTCTTTCTTTCTCTGTCTCCTTCTACCTCGCGATATCTCCCACTCTCTCTCTCTCTCTCTCTCTCTTCTCTCTCTCTCTCTCGTTCTTCCCCCCTCTCTCTTGCTCTCGTTCTCCATTGAGAAACCTCAATGCTATATTTAAATTCAAAAATGACAATTAGAAAAACGATTATGGCTTCGATTTATCAAAGGTTTAACGATCTTTTTTAAATTGAAATGCTGAATTCACGTTTTACCCTTCATATTCTTTAGCATATTTAAGCGGGTTAAGTAGCGATGAGATAGGTAAGACCATTGCTACCTTGAGCTTGAGCCTTCAAAATATGATACTTGGCCTCCTCTTTGGTCTTTAAACGTCACGGCTGGGCCCCTTGGCCACTGTCTGTGGCCAAAAACATTCCCCAAAACAACTGGTGACATTTTTGTGTTGCAGGGCAAAGGGCAAAAATGGAACCTCGAGATGCAGGATTTGCCCTTCCCTCCAACCTGTTTTTATCCCTTTCTTCATTGCCAATAAGGTGAAATTCAATCGTTTATCATCGAAAAAATTTATTTTCTTTCTTGTTTTGTTTCTACAATATTTTCCTTACGATTTTTGGCGGCTTGACAACTGGACCATTTTGAAAATACAGCTGCAAATTTTTGATGTGGTTCAGCGATTTTTAAGTAATTTTTCAATGCTGTTTTGTATTTTTTTCGTTCCTTCCTATTCTACGCTTTCTAAAATGTAAATTTAATAGATATTTAAGGTATATTTCACCAAATTTTGTAAAATGGGGCGAGCCAGACAACCTGCGCCGACGACCTGGAGGAATATCGCTGCTTTTTGGTGAGTAATTTTTCGTATTTTTCGCTTCTAGACACTTTTAAATATTAAGTTAAGTGCTGAGTGACTTTGTATAATCTTCTAGGTTATTCGGCCTCTGTAATAATTATGGCTACGTAATTATGCTGAGCGCCGCCGACGACATTATCCACAAACAAGCCGAGGGGGTGCCGTTCAATAAGAAGTGTATGGTAATGGTTATCATTCTAGCGAATAAGTTTTGCATGATTTTAAATAAATAGAAGTGCTATTTTCAGCATTTCTTGTTTGATAGTTCAACCACCGATTTACAACGACAGTTCTAGGAAGAAATCGAAACCCGATCTTGCCATGGTCGTGCTTCGACAGGCGCTATTTTGCTGGCCGAAATTTTCCCGATTCTGGTGATCAAAATCGTGATGCCATTTTTCTGCCACAAGATACCTTACGGGTAAGTTGTCTCAACTATGGAAACCCATTATATCTTTTAGATTCCGTCACTTTATTGTGGTGGCACTACAATTTTCTGCCTACCTCGTCGTGGCCTATGCGACGAGTTTTGAAATGGCTATTTTTGGTAAGTGCATATAGGTCCGCAAGAGAGAAAGAGAGAGAGAGAGAGAGAGAGAGAGAGAGAGATAGAGAGAGAAGAGAGAGGAACAACTTTAAACATCAAATTCTAGGAGTCGCCATGGCTGCAGTCGGCTCTGGGATTGGAGAAATTACTTACCTATCGCTGTCTTCACATTTTCCAATCTCCACAATCGCCGCCTGGTCTTCTGGAACGGGAGGAGCCGGAATTGTCGGTAAGCCCAGTTTCACCTTGCTCTTCTAAGGATTCAGGTTCCCGGGGTGTAATTTGTTGTTTATCGTTAAAAAATTTAAACAAAATATCAAAGGTGCCATTTAGGCTCCTTCGCCTACGCTGCCCTCACGGAACCTCAGCTTGGTGGCTTGACGCCTCGGATGACGATGTTGATCATGTTGGTAGGTATCTTAAAGGATGTATTTATGGGTTCAGCACGTGGCAAGTTAGATGACAATCGATTTTCCGGATTAATTTTTTTATGGTTTGCAAACCGCAGATTGAAAAACTAGCAGAATTAATGATTTTCAGACGATCCCGGTCGCTTTTGCCGTCGCCTACTGGGTAGTGTTGCAGTTCCCGAAAACCGTTTATTCGCCAGGCTGTTCACCTTCTTCTTGGTTGGTGCCAGAGGTAAGTGAAATATCTTCGAATTCTACCCCTCCCGGTTAGGTCTAATGCCGTTGATATTCGAACGATTTACATTTTATTTCTGTAGCGATTCGAATTCAAGGATGGTCTTTAATCAGCAGCCAAAATATTTTTCCAGGACATTGGCCGACGAGAAAAGCGCATGTCAGCGTGCTGCACCGAAATTCGGGAAGTACTAAACGCACAGCCATTGTTAGGTAAGCGACTGGTATTTCCGAGCTCCTCCAGTACCTTCGAAACCTTAACAGGACAATCGCTTACACTCAAAACATCAAAGTCACTACAAGCAGTTTTCAGAAGCCGGCGATGAGTCCCACCTAGCGTCTCAGCGGAGCCTGACCTTCGGAGATCGCGTCAATTTAATCAAGCCTTTGCTCAAATTCATGGTGCCGCTGATGCTCGTCTACTTTGGAGAGTATTTGATCAACCAGGGATTGGTAAGTAAATGTAATGGCTAGTAAGGACCAACTTACCTCTTTTCGACTAGTTCTCAACAGTAAGGTGTAGCTCAAAATGATTTCTCTCTATCCGTAATGAGCTGATCAACGTCATTTGTTGAGCTACGTATTTTTCTATACCTATACCAGGGTTGAAAAGCCGCTTCGCGACTTTTCAACCCTGGCCCCGTCCAACCCCATAATATTCTTCACTCTACATACGTCTCTCGAATTCTCTGCTTTGAAAAAAATGAAAAACGCCCCTCTCTCGCAGCTTGCTTTTTCGTATCTACGTATCGTAGCAAGCTAGCTTGCTAACCTATATTTGTTAATTTTTCTTTTGCGAATTCATTTAAAACCCAAAAATGTGACTTTTTAAAGCTAATAACATTTTCTAGACCCAACTCGTCTACTTCAACTGCGCAAATGGGTTAGGGTTGTCGAAGGGCAGTCAATATCGATGGTATCAGGTACTGTACTATTTAAACATCCTAGAGTACCATTTAAAACTACACAGGAGAACCATTTGCACCTACTATATATTGCAGGTTTTGTACCAAGTCGGAGTCTTCATCTCAAGGTCATCAGTACGATTTATCGAACTGCCGCAAAAAGTGTTGTATCTACTCCCAATCCTACAGGTAGGCGCTTACACGAATTTTTCCAAAGCCCTTCTGGGAAAACGGTATAATTCGGGTATAAAACAAGCTAGAAAACAGCCTAGTTTCCCGTTTTTCTGGAAGGTTTAAGATTCTATAAAATTTATTCTTGATGATTTAATTTTAGTTGTAGCCTTCCCAATTGCTTCGTTTTCAGTTAGCAAACGCCGTACTCTTCTACATCGAGGCGCGGTACGCCTTCGTGCCGCACATCTGGATAGTGTTCGCCGTCATCTTAATGGAGGGGTTGTACGGAGGGTCCAGCTACGTGAACACTTTTAATCATATACATAAACATGTGAGTTTTACGAATCCAATCGCGAAAAAATGCGAAGTTAACGTATTAAGTTACATACCCCGATAACTAAAATTCAGGGCCATTTTTGCGTCTTAAAATTGCTATTTTGGGATTTGCAACTTTTGAAAACTTTCTGAAAGACCTGCATTCGTTTCATGGTATTGTTTACAATCTTTTATTCCCATTTTTGATTAGGTACCGTACAAACATCTGATTAAAATTCCCACGGGTCTTGAGCGCATTTTTGCACCTTTGGCTTTTTGGTCGGTAGTAGGTATTAGTTGTAAGCGAAGAAAACATGTTTTGAAAGCCTTGATTTAGAATTGAAACAGCTAGACAATGGCCATTAAAAATTTAAAAAATTAAAAAACATGTTTTCAGGTACCAGTGGACGTGCGGGAATACTCACTTTCAATCGCGTCGCTCGCCGACTCGATCGGTATCGTCGGGGCTGCATTTACCGGTATTTTGGTGGGTTTTTGGCTTGTTTTAACAATATTAAAATCGCATAGACCTTCAAAAATATAAAACAACAATGAGATATAATTTATAGAAACTTAGACAATTAGCATCATCGCCACGGAGATTTTTTAAAATCTAAGCTTGTTTTGGTTTTTAAGTTTCTACTTAATTTATTGACATTTTTTCCTAATCTAATAATAAATTTGTAAAGGTTTGAAACGCCTTTTAATACCTATTAGTCAAACTCATAGATCGTTTCGCCAATTCCTGTTAGTTTGCTCTCCCAACTCCATTCAATGTCTGGTCACCACGGGTCTGACTAGTGTTTTGGATTCGATTACACCATGTAATGCGTCTTAAAACCCAATTACTTCCGCAAAAGGAATTAGCTAGCAGACCAAACGGTCACGAGCACCCCACGTTATTCACAAGCTGTATAATAGCCACATTTTTGGAGTTAGAGTAATCCCCTCGTATCTCCAGCGTCAAACCTGCAATTTTCAAATGCCACCCACACCTGAATTTCCTACTTCCAGGGCTAGAATGAGCGCAAAATACGACACCTGACCAATTGACTTTTGGACCGGGAAATGCCCCTGATGTCTTGGTGTAGGAAAGAAATTTGGGAGCAGGTTTTCTAAAGGTGATCCCTGGGATCCTAAGAATTTTTAATGGCATTGAAAAGACAATATTCTGTGCAAGCTTAAGCCAAAGCCTAAGCCTAAGTCTCAAACCTAAGCTAAGCCTAAGCTAAGCCTAAGCTAAGCCTAAGCTAAGCCTAAGCTAAGCCTAAGCTAAGCCTAAGCTAAGCCTAAGCTAAGCCTAAGCTAAGCCTAAGCCTACGCCCACTCCTTGTTAGTAGCATCTGCAAATTCTCATTTTCCAGACTCCCGAGAATTCTAGATAAAAACTTTTTTTTGGTCGGCTGACGCATGATTTTCTGATATTTCTCTGAATATTCACCTGGCGGCGGTCAGCTAGAGACTTTTGGTAGCTTTTATAAAATAGGATTTTGCGCAGTTTCCCTTATGAATGAAAACCCTTTATAGTCAGCCATTCTTTCAGAAAAATTTGCAAAATTCATACTTCAAAAGCAAAATTGATCAAAAAAATACAGCATTTTAGCAAAGAATTTTCAGCTCCACAACAACATCTGCGACCAGCTCGGGTAAAAGGACCCAATTGTCGGGATTTTATGTACATTTTTAATCTTTTATAGCGGCTTCACGAATATTATAAAACATACTAAATTTTCTTATCTAATTAAACCAAATTTTGAACGCACATATTTAAATAAAGATCGTAACATTTTTATTTTTGGTTAAATATTGGGTCTTCTAAAAGAAATTACGGTTGTCTAGTTTGTTTTTGCGAAACTTTCCTTTTATTGGCTTCTCCTTGTTTTCAAATAACTCATCTACTGCATTTGTCGTTTTTTACAATTTTCTGCGATTTATGTTTTTTATTTTTAATGTATTTTGTATTTCCATGACGAGCCGAACCCATTATAGAGATCTGTGAATTTCGGTGATTCGTTGCAGAGTGTATTCGCGGGGAAATAAAGCGTGTATTTTTGTTTATCTTTAATTCTACAGTATGCTATTTTACCCACTCAACGGCGGCCAGTGGTATTTATTTACGGCAATATTTTATGATGGCACGATATTGGAGGTTGGTTCTAAATACGTGTCGTAATCAGATAAGCGTAAAACTAATCGATTTTAAAAATCTAAAAAATTGTAAAATATAAGCCACAAAATACACAAAGCTACAAACTACACCATTTGTATCTTTTTAAAATCTAAGAGTTATAAAAGATAAGCTAAAAAATACACAAAGCTACAAACTACGATCCAGTAATCCTATGAACTACAAACAGACAAAACCACAAAATACAAACTGACAAAACCACAAAATACAACCTGGCAAAACCACAAACTACAATCCAACAAATCTAAAAGCTATGAACTACAAAACTGGTAAAACTACAGACTACAAGCTGGTAAAGCTACAGACTAAAATTCACAAAGCTACAAACTGCAAAACAGCCCAAAATACAACTACAATCTGACAAGACTACAGACTACAAACCGGCAAAACTAAACACTTTTATAAAACCTTTAGCAATCCGAATTCGGACGGCGTATCCTCACTACAGTATGCGTTCTTGAGTACGCCCTACACCTAGCAACGATCTTAATAAACGCCATATTTATCGTATCGATTTCGCGCACCGTCCGCTTCCACAAAAATTTCCGAAAAATCATGCTATTCGCGACCTGGTGCCTATTTTTACATCCAATTTCCCGATTTCTGCAGGCGCCATACCAATTTGGATTTATCTCGGCTGGAGGTGGGTTTTTGGCTCGGAATTACCTGGAATTTCCTTTCTGGTTTGTTATTCTTTTATTTTAAAAATAAAACAACATAAAATAAATTATCATGGTCCCCAAAAAAATTAAATAATTTTTATTGAATTTTCACATCAAAATCTCAATGGAATTTTTAGAATACGTCGTCCTCGACGTCTTAATGTTTATTTTTGCATTTTTGAGAGTATTTTCCTCTGTCGCAATTGGATATACGGTATTGATGATCGTGGGAGAACGGTAAAAGCTTCATCAATTTTTAGCGTTTAAAAACACGTGTAGAAAATAATTTAGCATTAAAAACTTTTAATTGAAAAATCTAAAGTTGCTTTAGAATTATTGCCACTCGCCGGATCAAAAACTACGAGAGAATACGCAAAACAACAATTGCGAATTGGATTATTTCGTTTACATCTGTGTCGGCCGTCTCCATCTGTCTCATCGGAATTTTTTGTATGAAATTATACCGTTTATCCGCTAAAATAAGTTCCAGTAAGCTCCTACTGCCGACAGGAAATCGTCTACTACTGTATTCCGCCCTATTTTTGCTTTATTATGGGATTTTTATCGGTAATCTTTATAGGAAAAGTGTAAGCAAAAATTAAGATGCACTTCTACCTCACTTATAAAAATTCGAAGATCGTCAAAAAGATGAGCAATGGAAAAGGAAGCGCGAAGGGATACCAGTTATCAATGCGATACCAGATTGAGGAGAATTTGAGGTCACTGAAGGTACGGAACTGAAGGCGTAAAGCTAAAGCGGCGTGATTACTTAAAAAAACGATTGGTTTGCGGAGGCTTGCGAAGATTTTTAGAAAAACGTGGATAAGTTAGTGGTTAGCATGCAAATGTTTCGAGAAATCAGGGAGAGTGAGAGAGAAACACAGAGAGAGAGAGAGAGAGAGAGAGAGAGAGAGAGAGAGAAAGAGCAGAGAGATAGAAAGAGAGATAGAAAGAGAGATAAATAGAGAGAGGGTTTTCGGAGGGCCAAATGTACCATTAGTGTGATGTTGGTTTCCGCCTGATAACGCTGTCCCCCCGCGTCAATAGAAGTTGAGTGTAGCCGATCGGCCGCTTGATTTTTAGCATCTACGATTTATTCTTTTGCATTTTTCGAAATTCTATAAGGTTCAAGCATTACTTCTAAAAACTCATTATCCAGTTATCTTAATACTTCCTAGAAGCAATACCCTATATTTTTAGCTACTTCGCTACTTCGTCGCCTGGTCCGTTGTCGTGAACATTGTGTTGATGGGCTGGGTGGGCTGGTCGCTGCTTGCCTTTAATGAGAATGAGCTGGATTCTCAAGTGATGATGGCATGCCTCGAGCTGCTGAACGCATGGTGATACTTTAATTATAATAGAAAAACTTTAATTTTTAGTGCAATTTTTGCTTTTACTCCTATTAGCCTGCTCACCGTCGCCGACTGGCGATATCAATTTTTGATGCTATTGTGCAGGTGAGTAACCCTGGATAATTTTCACGATTTTCATGTTTTTTTTTCATTTAATGATTGAATCAGTTTTAATAGATAAAAATGTCAGCTTGAAGACTGAATTTAAGGTTTTTCAGGAGACAAACCACCCGCCCTCAGGATATGACGGTATCAGTCGTAGAAAAACACGGCCAAAACGACGCGTATTTTGCTTATTATCGAAAGGAGTGGGAAATTTAATAAAGCTATGCCGAGCAGTTGAAAATTTAAGGAACTATGAAGGACGAGAGTCGACCCCTCCCGTAGGCTAGGGCTTGACAACTCTCAAGGTCAAGCATCTAAATGCAATTTTAAAGGCACGAGCAAGGCATGACTGCTAACTTTTTCGAACCCGAGACGCAACGCACGCGTCCCGCAACCGAATTTCCATTGCGTAATCGATTAGAACAGCTTCCCGACGCGTCGCGTGTCGCGGCACAGAAATGCATACACTGCCAAATGAATAGGAACGAAAAACGCAAGAATTGAGATGAATAGCTTTATAGTATCATTTCGATAAAAAAATGGAATTTCGATAAAGTCAAATTGCGCAAAAATCAAATTTCGAAGAAAATCGGTTTCGGAAAGAACGAATTTACAACATAAAATTTGGAACTAATGAGCCCGAGAAAATGTGCTTTAACAAAAATGAATTTCAGCAAATAAAATTGCAAAATACCGTAGGCAAATCAGTGTCTACAATTACTCAGAAATTTTCCGCTGCCGAACTTTAACAAATAAGTCATTAGTTAGCTGCGCATGGCTTAATTGTAAATTTCGAACCTTCAGCTTTTTTAGAACTTTTTCTCTTAATTCGATTTATTAATTCTATCCATTCGATTCCTACTTTACAATAATAATTCGATGCCTTGAAAATCGCCTTTCGCATGTCAGATGACACTTTTTCATTTTGGTCAAGTACAGCAAAAATCCATAGTAACCCATAATTATTGGCATTTAGCTATAGCCGATGGGGTACTGGTTTGATACTTTTCTTCATATACAATTTCTGACATTTACTACGCTACTATTAAGAAAATATAGGCTACATTTTGGAACAAACAGTCAATTTTGCATTTTGTTGAAGCGTGAGTAGCATAAAAATTTAAAAAAAACGGTCCACAAATGGTCTCCGCTAGCTTGCCAATAAACTTTAATTGAGAAAAACTCAATAGCCTTAAAATTCCAAACAGTTTGAAGGCTCAAAAAGTTCACGGAAGTTCAATTTGACAAACTCTTACGTTTTGCGCTGAGTTTAATTACGATAATTTCTCTGTAATTTCGTCAAGTGCATCGTGCGTTTTTGAAAATTAAATTTTTTAATCTTAAAATTTAAAATTTAAAATTAAATCTTTAAATTTTGAAATTTGCGGTTCGCCTACTTTTTTTGTTCCCCATTTGTGATGGGCGACTACGGTTCTTGCGTTTTTGCTTGAAAATTGATGGTTTTAGACGAACACTGAATTAGTGAAATTTCAAGTTTCATCAGGTGATATGGATTTTCAAAGTTTATTGGATTCACTCTATCGCTCTCTAGCGCTCTCCTTCCCTCTCTCTCTCTCTCTCTCTCGCTCTCTCTGGCTCTCTCTCGATTTCCCTCTCTCGCTATCTCTCGCTCTCACTCTTTCTCACTCTAGCTATCTCTCACACACATTCTCTCTCACTTTCTCTCTCTCTCTCTACTTTCTCTTTCACTTTCGCTCTCTCTCACCTTCTTTTTCTATCACTTTAGGTCTCACACTTTCTCTCACGCTCTTTCACTCTCTCACTCTCACTCTCCCCCATTCTATCTCTCCCTCTCTCTCTCGCTCTCCCGATCTCTCTCTATCTCTCCCTTTCTTTAAATCCAAAGAACAGTCGTTTTTCCAAGCGGTTACTCCTGCTTCCCGGAACTGACCACCCATCGTGTCTACTTTCCCATGGTACCGATTCGTACACATGTTTTTTACCTTTAGTTTTTTATCCCACGGCTGAGAGCTCAATTTGCAAAAAGCAAACTTTTTCCGAGCCATTTAGCAAGAACTGGAACTCTTCGGTCCAGCTTTCCTAAAGGAGCGCAGCAAAACGATTGTCCTGCAAACGGCTCCAAAATTCAGCCTTTACCGGGCAAACAGTGTCAAGGCTTTTTTAAATATCCGTTTTCGGTAGTTTGCCACATAAAAAGCTGTGTGATTTTTGAAGAGTAGCTCCTTTCGGGTCGTATGCACCCACCGTCTGATTTTTCATGGTGATCCTTTCAGAAATTAGACGAGGGCGGTGTTGAGTCCTATAATTCGGGGCCCCAGGGACTTAGAAAATAGCCAAAAGACGTGCTATCCAACAAGCCCCGTGATCCCTTCGTCTGAATATGCCGATTTTCTACTACAGATGGTCGTGAATTTAATTATTTTTACTTTTGGAAATTTCAACAATGAATTTTACATTCATCGACACAGACGCAAATACCGACACCGAAATTTGTTGTGGAGTTCCATTAGTAGTTTATCGTAATTACTGCAACCCTTGCATTCATGTTTTTTTTGTCCTAATTTTACGTGCCTTAACCAAAATTATTTAAGTCTTAGAAGATGTCCACAACAACCGCCGAAGATCCACTTTGCGCCGCCGTCGCTAAACTAACTTTTGGGACATGGTAAGTGAGAATAAAAATTAAACCCTGAATAGACAACGTAAAAAATCCCTAAATTGTGATAATTTGAATAGGAGGGTAATTAATAAACTTAAATAGGTGGGATATTTTATATTTCCAGGTACATCTGGCAGACCATCTTCAAAGCGGCCCTCAGCTCGGGTACTGTACTTTTTGTGGGATATATGTTTGCGCGGAAGTTGATATGGATTCATAAAGAAGTGCATGTGAGTTGAGTTAGATGACAATTAGGATTTAGTGCCGTAATTGATTCAAATGCTAATCGAATCCTGAGAATCTAAAGCTTTTTAGAGTCTAATCGGCTTCAAATTGCTCATCGTCGCTATTTACGCGTTGATAAATGCGATTACGCATGTGGGGGTTTGAACTTGAAATTTCAGAAAAATTATGCTAAATTTCGAAAAATAACAAGTACTTACAATATTTCTCCCACAATTTAAAGGTATTATTTGAGAAATTTTTGCGGAATTTATTGGCATGCAAAGCCCTAAACCTTATATTTACAAAATTAATGAAGATATCAAATTAGCCTTTTGAGAAAAATTGATCAAGTATAAGTCAAATTAAGGCCTTTATTACGTCTTATTTAAATCTTGATTTCATTTTAGTGGCAACCCATCATCCTCCGATTTCTATCAAGCGATCCTTGCACGCTGGTATTAAGCAGTCACTCATGCCTTGTTTACAAAATTATACAAGTAAGCTTTTCGGTTTGCAATCTGCGCCAATTAAAGCCCGTCAGAACGATGAAATATCGTTGAGAGCAAGAAAGTTGCGCACCGGGCGGGGGGTCGAACCCGCGATGGTCCGCTCCAGAGTCCGACGCGCTAGCCATTATACCACAGGGCCAAGTGGGCAAGGGAGTCAGAGGCGCCCCAAACCCTAGCGGGTCTTTGCCCAATACGGAACACCACTAATGACGACCCTCTCTGCGCGTTCTTGGGGGCAGCACCCTCGGGGTGACAGTGCGCGTTCCATCGTTCTGGTAGTCTTTAAAAATCCACAGATGCGATTCTTGTAAATTAAAAACAAAACATTATTCGGAAACCCCCCTTAAAAGCTGAGTGCCCCAGACTTACTAGATACGTTAGTTATATACGGTACGTACGATACATTACACCAAACAATCATTCAAAATGCATATAAAACTAAAATATTCTTATTTCCAGGGTTGCTGCATGTTCTCCATGTCATGCACGATTCTACTCTTGTTATTCGAGCGCTCCTTGGCCATTCACCCCAGTATTACCGAAAAATTCTGCAATCGGCTGACGAGGCTTTTTGTGGCTTTTTAGGTCAGTTTCTAAGACTATTTGTGTAAGGTAATGTTCTTTATTTCATGTCGTAATCCATTCCAGATCTGTTTCTACGTGTACATCGCTGTCGGGTATAATACTGCCGAATACGGGCATAATCTAAGCATATTGCATTGTTTGCAGGAAACCATGGTATGTGAAAATAAAAACCCCTTGGTTTCTACTTCTAAAAAGTATTATAACTTTACGCAACGTACTCGTATGACGCGATTAACAACGTATTTTACTTTTGGCGTAGCGTTGCGGTTGCGTAGCGTTACGTAGTGTAACGTCGCGCTACTCAGTGTAGAGTAGCGTAGCTAAGCGTAGCGTAGCTAAGCGTAGTGTAGCTAAGCGTAGCGTAGTGTTGAATACGGTATCGTAGCAGCAAGTACTGGTCTGGCTTCAACTGCGCTTCCATTAATGCAGAAAAAAATATTAGATAATATTATTTTTAGTATACTGAACCCTTCATAAACGACCTCAACCTGGTGGTCATCTGCATCGACGTGCCTACGATGTTTTACGGGTTGTTATTCAAATTCTTTTGCGAGTATAGACTGAAAAAGTGAGTTTGTTGCTTGCTACAAATTTCGTGATCTTTAAATTTTCTTAAAAACGTCTGATTTACGATTCTTCCCTTGAAAATCAAAGTTCCTCCTGTGGTCTATGCAAATTAGCAAAACTAGAAAACCGCTCAAATCCAATTTTCAGACGAAACCGCCGCAGTCTACAGCACACCTATCGGATGCGGTATTCCCTCCTTGTCGTCAATTCCTTTCTTCCTGTTATTTTCTTCCACTGCCTAGTCATTGCATTCCAAAATATCATCTACTTTGCGTGGCCCTGGTACGCTGGAGCCGTGAAGGATTATGTGGAGATGAAGAATATTGATGGGTTGACATATGTGAGTTTTTGACAAGCTTTTTATGAGGTTTAGAAACTTAACTGACCGTATCTGGATTTTAATCTTGAAAATATTGAATGAACTAAATGTTTTCCAGATAACACCTTATTACATCGTTGTTATGCCAATTATGTATCGAGTTGCGCTGCAGAGATTACGAGAAAGGTATCAACTCATGAAGATTACAATAATTAACTTTGTAAAAATAGATAAGAAAAGGTTTTTAGAAATAAAAAGTAAAATTGAAATGTGGTCCAGCCTTGCCTTTAATTCAAAAACCAAATAACCAAAAAAACCGGAACTAAAAACGGGCATTTCAGGAGGGAACGTGAATTCGACGAAGCAAGAAGCCCACGACTTGATGGAAAAGTTGCCCCGCATGGCGAGGTCTACCGTAATCTACTAGCTTCGGCTTGGGCGGTGCCGACGAGTATTACAATCAGGAAATAGGGAAATAATAAAATACACTATTATTATATCGGTGTACGCAGGAGACAAAAATAATTTCAAAGCAACCTTCAAGGGATACTGGGTGCTACGACTTCCGATCCATTCGTGTGGTAAACTCGAGAAACTTGGGCAATCCCGACGAGGCGGCGAACGTTATTTCGGATCGTTTTGTTGAAGCTCAGATAGATCATTGCTGGGGTGCCTAAAAGTAGCAAAATACGTTTCGAATTCGGATAACGTGACAAAGAGAGAGCGAGAGAGAGAGCGTGAGAGAGAGGGAGAGAGACAGAGAGAGCGAGAGAGGGTGATAGAGAGAGAAGAGAGAGGTTGATTTTCAATAGCCTTACTATGCATCAACATCCACGAAATGTGCCCGATATGCATCAGTGCAATCGAAAATGAGCCTTGAGGGATGAAGGCGAGGCTTGTCCAAATCAAGGTGGTCGTGAAGACGAAAAGCGATACCAGGATGGCTTGGCGGAGAACCTTAGACGCAAGATTGTTATAATTGAAGTGAGAAGATCTCAAGTAATGAAATCGCAAGCAATCGTAACTATTTACGATAGGCCACTCCTTACTGCTCTACGAAAAAGTCATTACTGTACTTTCCTTTGATTATTCTGACGGATTTAACGATCGTTCGACCGAGTGTAATCCGTTACGACGTCAAAATGTGCTTAAATTCATAGCTGAAGTACCTGCTTCCGATAAGATCCCATCTTCAATCCCATGATCTTCTCTTTTCGCCACTGTATCACGTAAATCAAGATGCTGCAAGTCCCCAGCGACGTACAGACGAATATATTCAAGTAAATCTGATTCGCGACATTATACTAAAAAACGGATACGGTAATTAGAGCATGATTTACCACATGATCCATATTCCCAGGGATGAGTGGGTGGAAAATGACGGTACCGTAGTCTGGATTGAAAAGGACTGGGGTTTCGAAGGTCGAGAAATCGAGGCCAACGAGGAATGGGACAAAGATGAAGAGGTAGATGGATTTTCCCTAAAATTTAGAAAAAATCAGAGAGTGAGATGGAGAGAGAGGGAGAGAGAGAGAGAGAGAGAAGGGCCACAGGGGGAGAGAGGCGAGGGGGGGGGGGGGGGGGGGGGGGGGGGGGGGGAAAAAAAAAAAAAGGAAGAGAGAATAACCATAAACCGTACCTTAAATAACAGATCTCTCCCTCGACATTCCGCAACGTCCAAAAGTCGATTGAAAAGCAGCGACACAGAAGTAAGACAGGTGGCGATAAAGAAAACTATAAATTTGATTAGATTTGATTACATTATGAGTTTTCATACGTCCGCAATACAGTCCGGTCCAAAAAATGAGCGTCGGCTTATCGCAAAAGTGAAAACCATAAATCGTAAAGTATCCCATCCAATAGCCACAAACAAAAATGTTCAGTAGATCGTATATGGCTGTAATTACTCCAAGTTTTGAACAAGCATAAAACCCCTCGTACCCAATCCGAACATGAGCTTGTAGGCGGGGTACTGTATGTTCTCCTTTCTGCTGATCCCTAGTAGGGAGATCAGATAGGCGACCTGCACGAGGAAGCCAGCGACGATGTAAAAAAATACCAAGAGGTACGTTTGGCGTCGCGGCTTGGAACGTGGCATTTTTAAAATGCGCTTGTCGCGAGAGACGAGGGGCAGAGACAGAGGAGAGAGAGCGAGAGCAAGAGAGAGAGCGAGAAAGAGAGAGCGAGAGGTAGAGAGATAGAGGAAGAGAGAGGGACAGAGAGAAAGAGACAGACAGACAGACAGATAGAGCGAGAGAGAGGGAGAGAGAGAGAAAACCCTATAACTTCAAACGCTGCTCGACGTACCGACACGAGTATTTTGGTGTATCCTCCAGCGAGCCATATTTAAAGTAGTTATTCATATTGATTAATTTTTGAAATATATCAAACAACAACTTTGTGGTGGTGAAGAAAAGGCTTGCTTGTCGATAATCATGAAGCTGTAAACACCTCGGAGCGCACTAATTGTACTTGTCAATGTCATGGTGATACGAAAAAGTGAAAGACAAAATAGGGTGCGTTGGCCCCCTAGGGAGTTGGATCGGTTGGAAAATTATGACAATAAAACAGCACTCGCGACTAAACCGTTATCTCTGGTAATATTTGCGATTACCATTTTCTTTCCACAGCAAGGGACAAAGTTATATCGCCTAAACAAAGTGTTAACCCTAAGCACGAGGGAGAGAGAATCAGGGTGAGAGAGAGCGTGAAAGTGAGAGAAACCCACAGAGAGACAGGCGAGAATGGAAAAAATATTTTCTCTTCATTACGCCCACTTAAGCCTTTTTTAACTTGCAGGCGCGTAGTGACACATAGCACAAAAATGAATTACATCTTTATTCTCCAGTTTTTGCAAAGTTATAAGTGCCAAGGATGCAAAAATGGGTGAATTATGGCAGGTTGGGGATGGGTACGTCCGATCCGACGGCTCCGCTTCCGGAATGGTAAATTCGAGACGAGGCGCGAATTCCAAGGGACCGACGAACGTGGCTACGGATCGTCACGTTGAAACTCAGATATACCAGGGCAGGCGTGCCTAAAATCCCAAATGGTATTTGCTAGTTCGCTTTGATAATGATGGCAGATCACAAGGGGGCGAGAGTGAGAAAGAGAGAGATAGGGAGAGAGAGGGAGAGAGAGAGAGCGAGGGAGAGAGAGGGAGAGAGATATAGAGAGAGAGGAAGAGAGAAGATCTAGAGCAGACTTCCTATGCATCAACATCCACGAAATATGCCCAATATGCATCATTGCCATCGCAAGTGGACCCGGAGGGATGATGGCGAGCATGCTCCAAATTAGCGTGGTTGTGAAGACGAACATCGAGACGAGAATGGCCTGGCGGAGGATCTGAAGGGGTCCACTCGATCTCTCGCTTGCATTCATTTTCTCTATCTCTCTCTCTCTCTCTCTCTCTTTCTCTCTCTCTCTCACTCTCTCTCTCTTCCGCCTCTCTTGCTCTCTCTCTCTCCTTCATTCTCTCTCTCTCTCTCTCTCTCTCTCTCTCTCTCTCTCACGTTCTCTCTTTTCATCTTCGCCTCTCTCACTCTTTCTCCTCTCTCTATTTCTCCAACCTGTTGCCGATACGATCCCATCTTCACGCCCATCATCTTTTCTTTACGCCATTGAATTACATAAATCAAAATGCTACAAGTTCCGAGCGAAAAGGCAACGAAATTGTTGAGATAGACCTGGTGGTCGAAGTTATACTTAACTCGTATTTAGGCGGTCAGTGGAACGTTTACCTCATGATCCATATTGCCAGGTATCATAGGATAGAAGATGACGGTACCGTAATCAGGATTGAATAGTACCGGGGTCTCAAATGTGCAAAAGTAGAGCCCAACGAGGAATGGACCAAAGATGAAGAGGTAGATAGCGTTGCCCTGAATTTAGGTATGAGAGAGATCGAGAGAGAGGGAGAGAGAGAGAGAGCAAGTGAGGCGGCGGTTGAAAACTACCTTAAACAACACATCCCGCCATCGGAATTCAGCCACATCAAGCAGCCGATTAAAAAGTAGAGAGACGGAAGTAAGGCAAGTGGCATTATAGAATACTTAGGATTAATTAGTGTAGCATGTTTGGGTCCTACTTACAACAACAGTAAACGCCGGTGAGGTATATCTCAGTCGGTCGATCACAAAAGTGGAATCCGTATATCGTGAAGTATCCCATCCAATATCCACAAACAAAAATGTTTAGGAGATCGAATATGGCTGAAATTAATTAGTTTCGGCATGACTACCAAGCTGTACCCAACGCAAACATGAGCTTGTAGGCAGGATACTGTATGTTCTCTTTTCGGCCAATGCCGAGGAGAGAGGTTAGATAGGCGAGCTAGAATCGAATAGTTAGACCGAGAGATTGAGAGTGAGATCGAGAGCGTGAGAGAGAGAGGAAGATTGGCAGCGTGAGAGAGAGAACCGTAGTACCTGCACGACAACGCCCGCCACAATGTAGAATATGCCAAGGGGCGCGTTTGGACTCTGAGGTTCAGATGTTGCATTTCTAAACAGCTTGGTTTCCTGATTTTTTTTGTTGCTACGGTGATACTCCCCCAAAAACTGGTTAATCTACCGGCACGAATATTTCGGCGTATCCTCCAGCGAGCCATATAGGATGTAGTTGTTCATCTAGAGAAAATTCGGCGTTTTCAGGTTCAGGAAGGGCTAGACGCTAGACTGAAGATTGAGTAGCTTAGATATTGGCCAGGAAGAGCCCAAATTGTTCAAATGGGGGAATAACAAATTACTAGATTGCGTCCGCTAGACGAAAACAAGCATGCTTTGGTCTCTAGAGGATATTTCAAAGATCCGGACGTAGTTGTGAAGCTGCGTGCAAGAAAACAAGATCGCGAGTCTAAACATTTTTAAGGTTGGTGCGTATCTATTGCGGTAGAGTCTAGTCCTGGGCGCAGGAACGATGTAGTTAGGGCTCAAAATTGGACTACCAGACTCTCAAAAATCACAAAAAAGGAAAATTTGTTTTTTGGCTGCCTTTTGAATAAAATATTTATTTTTGGTTTTTATATGAATTACGGAAGATATAGTAGGATAATCGGATGCATTAAGAGGATCATGCGGGCATATTTGGAGCTGGGATCTCTGGTCCTCCGGCTCCTCCAGTGCTTGTATGGCAGATTCGGGAAGTGGGTGCCATCCTGCTGAGACGACGAACGTTGCTACGTATCGTTTCGTTGAAGCTCAGGTAGATTAGAGCCGGGGTGCCTGAAATTCCACAAATGGTGTATGCTAGATTGCTTTCCAATTAGATAGAGCCAGCAGGGGAGAGAGGGAACGAAAACGAGAGTGCGTGAGAGCGAGCGAGAGAAAGAGAAAGAGAAAGAGAGAGAGAGAGCTAAGGAGAGAGCTAGTGTTAGCCTTACTATGCATCAACATCCACGAGATATGCCCAATGTGCATCATGGCCATAGCAAATGCTCCGGGTGGGATGAAGACGAGCATCGTCCAAATTAGCGAGCTCGTGAAGACGAAGAAAGACACGAGGATGGCTTGACGAAGCACCTAGAAAGGCCCTGCGGGTTTATATCTCTCTCTCTCTCTCTTGCTGTTCTCACTCCCTCTCTTTCTCTCTCTTACCTGCTTCCTGTATGACCCCATCTTGATGCTCATCAGCTTCTCCTTTCGCCATTGAATCACATAGATCAGGCAGCTAAATGTGCCCAGCGAGACGCACACGAACATATTTAGCCAGGTTTGACGGTCGAAGTTGTACTGAAAGAGGGATACATTAAGCAGGAAAGGATTTACCTCATGGTCCATATTCCCTGGGATCAGTGGGACGAAGATGAAAGTACCATAGTCTGGGTTGAAGACGACTGGGTGCTCAAACCCAGCGAAATAGAGACCGATAGCAAAGGGAACCAGAATGAAGAGGTAGATGGATTTCCCCTAAACGTGATAAGTGAGCAGGAGAGAGACACAGAGATGCAGACAGACAGAGAGAGAGAGAGAGAGAGAGAGAGAGAGAGCGAAAGAATGTACCTTGAACAGCAAATCACGATAACGACATTCAGCCACATCGAGGAGACGATTGAAAAGCAGGGACACGGAAGTTAATGACGCCGAGTTATAGAAAACTAAAAGAGACGATTTTGCTATGCTTTGTGTTGTGTTTATCGTTTGTGAAATTTTCGATTTAATATAAACGTACGTTCACAGTACAATCCGGTTAAATAAATCTCCGTTGGTCTATCGCAAAAATGGAAACCATAGATCGTAAAGTAGCCCATCCAATACCCACAATCAAATATATTCATTAGATCGAATATGGCTAAAATTACGTATTTAACCTCATTAGGAGTCAGCGTCCTTTTAAAAGCAATTTTGCTACCATACCCAGCGCGAACATGAGCTTGTAGGCAGGATACTGTATGTTCTCCTTGCGGCCGATACCGAGGAGGGACGCAAGATAGGCGAGCTGGAATCGAGGAGTTAGAAGGAGAGAGAAAGAGAGAAAGAGAGAGAGAGAGAGAGAGAGACAGGGAGAGAGAGAGACAGAGAGAGATAGAGAGAGAGGGAGTGGATGAGATAAAGGGAGAGTGAGAAAGAAAGAAGGAAAGACAGCGACAGCGAGAGAAAAAAATCACCTGCACGACGAAGCCGGTCACGATGTAGAAGACTCCCAATGGTAGATTCGGATTTCGAGGTTCGGGCGTAGCATTGCTAAGGTATGGCTAATATATTACGCAAAAATAGAGAGAGATAGAGTGAGAGAGAGAGAGATAGCGGGGCAGAGAGAGTTAGAGAATTAACCATACCGACACGAATATTTCGGCGTATCCTCCAGCGAGCCATAGATGAAATAGTTGTTCATCGTTGTCCGGAACCAAGTTAGATCCAAAAAAAAACGGAAATGATTTCCGAGGGTGCGCTGAATTTTTACTTTTTCGCAAATCCGAAATAACAAGCAGAGAATCGCGGCAATTAGTCTTATCCGACTATGTTTTGTCGGTTGGCTCCAGAAATTCGATGTGGGTCCCCGGGGATCGCGTTTGGTCCGAAAGTATCAATCACACAAATATCACAAATCAGTAGGTGGAATTGGAATGGACGGTTCTAAATTTAGGTTTGAACCTGAGGGGCTAAACTTCGAAAAACTTCCAAAAGTCTGTTAGATCTCTGCTATACCGAAAAAAAATAAAGATGGATTTAAATTCTTTCTGTTCGGACTAAATATTTCAGTGGTATTATAGTAAATAGTTTTAACGAAACGGCACGTGCTCCAAATAACGATGACGGCGAAACGCAACGCGGGCTCGCTATTTCACTGCTTAAGAAATAATGCATTGATGCTATCGTTGGCTGGGCACTACAGAGCTGTCTGCGCGCTGTGCGTCGCGGTTTCTCTAAACCTAGCGATGTCCATAATGGCCAATAGATCTCCATACAATTCCCATTAATGCGCTCTTTTAATCTAGACTCGGGTTCAAAATCCTATATTGTGGACACTTGTCACGTTCCCGTGACGATCACGGTTACCTAACCTAATAAATTCTCCAAATAACTATAACTCAATACAATCCGCTGTTACGAGCAGCCTTCTCTTTCCTTCCGGCCATCCTCAGAAGCCCGCAGTGCCGTGCTGATGGACCGTGCTCCCCTTCTTCTTCTCTATGGGCGTCTCCGCGATCCAGGGCCACAACATCGTGTTCAAGTACAAGCCCTCGTCCACCGACGTTCGCATGTCCACTTTGCATGCGGTTCCGCGGCATCCGGAAGGCGACCCTGTATTCCCTGCGTTCCCGACTATATAAACGCCCGCCTTCTTCCTCTCATCAAGTCAACATCTGCGTCTTCCCGGGTCTAGCAAGCCGTTCGCCACCGCGAGGCTCGTCTACTCTCCGGCCGTCTCCATTGCCTTCGTGTTCGCCTTCATCGCCGCCTTCTTCGCCTTCATCATCGCCTTTGTCCCAGTCCCCGTTTACCCCGTTTTTGCTGTGTATTCATAAAAGGGTACCCCACCGGGACCCTTGAATAAATCGTGCCCAAAGTTCCCCGTCTTTTGCTCTCCCGGCTATCGAGTGCGCAAATTATTGTCACTGGTGTGACAACACTTTTTAAGAAATAAACTCGAGTTTTAATATTTTCCCGGAACCCGCAGCAACGTGTTTCGACTACGAATCCGTGATTTTCATAACTCCCTGGACATCTTGTTTCCTACAACCTCGCCTTTTTGCCGTTGTCCTGTTTCTCGGAACGTGCTTCGATTTCCGACCAGAAAGAAAATCGGTTTTGTCTGGTTTTCGACTCCCTGGAGGTCTCTGAAGTACGACCGTGCGGTGGACAGGAATTTAACTGAGGACACGTAGTCTTGGTCTTTTTAAGGGATGCGGAAGTTGATGTCTCGGTCGGCGGGTTCTCCAGGGAGATGAAGACCAAAATATAATTTTGTTTTTGGAGATTCTTCGTTTTTAAAGGGCACCGGGTTGCCCGTCTTGTACTTGGTGTGCGGGAAAAGCAAACGGCTCAAGATGATTTTTGAAACTTTCTAGTTTTCTAGAAACGAACGTGCCACATTTGTGGTATTTTCACGTGAAGCCAAAAAAATCCAAGTGGCTACCGTAGCCAAGGAATGCGATCATCTTACTATATATTAAAAAATAGTGGTTGTGTGTGCCACTTTGCATGTACTTCCGTTTGTCTGTCCGGGGGATATCTCGATAGGGGATTAAGAGCGAGAGAGAGAGAGAGAAAGGGAAAGCGAGAGAGAGAGAGACTCGCTTACCCAGTGCAAACATCACCTTGTAAGCAGGGTGCACCTTGTAACTTTCTATGGCCTGCGGCGCTAGAGCAAGGGTCAGGCGTAAGCCACGCACACCGAGAGCCAAGAAATACAGGGAGTCCCAAAAAAAACGAACCATCTGGCATTTCGCCGTGTTACATCCGATCGGTCCCAAAATTGGAGCAGAGGTGTTTCGGACCCTAAATAACCACAATCCTGACTTATAGCCCTGTAGCTACAGTAGTTCTTGAGTTATACCATAAATACTGTTTTTCCCGGAATTACAAACAGTTTTCCCGGCTATCTTTTTGGACTTTGCATAGATCTGCATCGACTTCCGGCTGCGAATCCCTAATTTCGCTTAATCTCGGGGGTGATTTTGAGTTGTAAAAATAGCCTAAATCAAAGCTTATTTGATCAATTTTAGCCCGGAAAGAAATTTCGTAAGGTAAAGAAGGCCTAGCGGATCATTTTCACTTAATGTTTAGGGGGTCTAATTCCACGAAAACCCTATGAAAAATCGAAAATAAAGTTTGTTTTTGCTATAACTCGAGATCCACTATAGCTACCGGGCTAAAAGTCAGGATTGTAGTTATTGAGGGTCTGATACACCTCTGGTCCCAGTTTGGGACGGATTGGATGTAATACGGCGAAATGCCAAATGGTTCGTTTTTTGGGACACCCTGTATGTTTGTTGCTGAACTATGTTTGTTGCTAGAATAGAGTGCCCAACCCGAGAGACCGTCGCGTGCCAAAAGTAACCAAGATTGTATTTTTTAGTCTGAATTCATTGAACGCGTGATCCACGGCTCGTCGCCCGTTTTGTTGATGATTTTTGCTATTTTGCTTGTAAAATTTTTAAATGAAAGACCTTCGCAAAACAAAAAACTGCGTGTCTGGCAAATGCATTACTGCACCTCCATTCGGAAAATTAGTGCGAAATTCGGCCTGGCGGCCGAGAAATCGGCTGTACAGAAAACAAACATACTTTTCTCGCTTGGAGGAGAGGACATATCGGAACTTAGTTTCTTATTCAGGCAGATCGCAGAAAGCAGCGGGCCATTACCCCCCCCCCCCCCCCCCCTGAAAAAAAAAAAAACTTAAAAAAAAATCGGGCCGAGAAAAAAATTTGGCCCCCCCCCCCAACCAAACCCCCCCCTTTTCTCCCCCCCCCCCCCCCCCCCCTCCCTTTTTTTTTTTGGTGTTGTTTTTTTTTTTTTCCCCCCCGCCCCCCCCCCCCCCCCCCTTTTTTAACCCGCGGGGGGGCCCCCCGCGCGAAAAAAAAAAAAAAAAAATTTTTTTATTTAATTAGATTTGATAACAAATCCGGACTGCTAGGGAAAAATGAAGGTATCAGCCAGAAAAATCTGAACCAAAAAGCCCGCACTCTCCTGTTCACCCACTAGGCCACACTTTGCCACAGACTCCCCGGAAATCAGTACGGAATTTAACGCTTTACATTTTCCTCGATAAAGTGATAATTGAAGAGTTCTTTGAAGCCACAATTCGTTAAGTCATAATTTTCTTCGCTTGATATTTTTTTGTCCGAGCTGAACTTTCGATCCGATCACCAATTTCAATTTTGGGGTGGACGGGGGAAATGGCCTTGAATGGGGGCAGGATATTTTGTCGAACATGGTCGTCACGGCTACACTTATTGATATCGGCTGAAAATCTCTAACTTCCAATCCAGCCAAGCTCTAGCTAAATATGCACGTATTGCTACTGTTTTTGTATATTTCAGGTATCTAATACCTCGCTTTATTGAATTATGAAGCCAAGCGTCAGGTTGAAAAAGGAAATTCCGGAGATTTTTTTTGTTGAAAGCGAAATTACCAAGCAAAAAATCCTCTGAAACTGCGAAATTGATTTACAATTTTTTTACGTGAGTTTCAATATCTCTAAAGCAAAACGGTAGATATACGTAGATTTCGTACTCTTAATGAAATAGACTTAATGAAACAGATTTTTGCATTTCAGTGACATTTGGCAATGAGATTCGACGGCTCCCCGATGACGACAAGCGCAAAATTACCGGCGTAAGTGAATTTTTATAATTCTATTAAATACGATTATCACATACCTTAAATTTACAGAAAAAAAACAATTTAGTACATGAATCTCTTTCGCAGCGAGGTGGCCCAGGGGACCAAGCGGGATTTGGAGCTGTCGTTTAGCGACCCGAAGAATAGTCGATACAAGTAAGAAATTAACCTATTTATTTAATTTTATACTGTTCCTAAATGTGTTAATTAAACATTAATGACATTCTACTAATTTTATAGGGATACGCCATCTCGATTTAGTGATCTTGTCAACTTTAATTCATACCTGAAATGCCCAAATTTTAGCGATACCTATCAAGGACCACCATTTGCACCATTGGACTATGCTAAAGCGGCGGGAATGTGTAAAATGGTGGGTTAAAACTGAAAATAAAAACTGTGAAGTAGAAATAGACAAATAAATAGACCCCAAAAGGTCAAAATCGAGCTCTTTACTTTCTTAATACTTTTTTACAGACCTACGATCCGGAAATGGAGAAGCTAGCTCTCGATATGGCGGAAAGCTACGATCCGAAGCTGAACTTCACCCTCGCACTTCTTGACGACGTTTCGACACTAAACTACACGGTCATCTTTCCAGAGCCCTGGCCGGCAGAGGTTCCACGGGTTACGGATTCTCAACTCAGTAAGTGTTCACCAAATTTTAAGGCTGATAAGGTAGCCATTTCGCTCTCATCACACTCTCTCCTCTCTCTTTCTCTGTCTCGTCACTCTCTCTCGCTCTCTCGCTCTCTCTCTCTCTCTCTCTCTCTGCATCTCTATCTCCCTGACTCTCTCTCACTCACTCTATCTCGCCCTTTCTCTTTCTCTCGCTCTCTCTCTCTATCTCTCCCTCCCTCTCTCTCGCTCTCTCGAAATATCGAGCCTGATTTTTAGTGGACTTCGCATGGCAAGACTGGAACCAGTGGCACCAACTGGCCGGCATCGTCGACAACCACTACCATCCTGGAGATAGCGACAAGATGAACGAACGCATTAATAGAGACCGGAATTATGTGGTGAGCATAAGCTCATTCAACTCTTTTTCCGGAACCTTAACTAATCAGAAATTATGCTTTCAGATGCTGGACGAGGGGCTAAGAAAGATCGGATGCGTCTTTTTACAAGTAAAACAACAGGTGTACTTCATTTGCATGATGGGGCCAAGGTGAGGAAACTGCTAGAAGTCTTAGAGAGAGAGAGCGAGGAAGAGAGAAGGAGAGAGAGGGAGAGAGAGAGGGAGAGAGAGAGTGAGAGCGAAAGAGCGAGAAAAAGAGAGAGGGAGAGAGAGAAAGAGAAAGAGAGAGAGAGAGAGAGAGAGAGAGAGCGAGAGAGAGAGCGCGAGAGCGAGACATGCAAAAAACAGAGACAGAGGAGAGGAGAGAGAGAGAGAGAGAGAGAGAGAGAGAGAGAGAGAGAGAGAGTGAGAGCGATTTGGATTATGCAAAATGAAAAATTTAGAAACCTCATCCCCGGCAAGCAGGTGTACGCAGAGGGCCCGGCGTGCTCAAAGTGTCCAGCCGATACCAAATGCGACCAGGATTGGAAATTATGCACAGCCTAAAGGTTTTTATAAAAATGTCGGATAAGCAGGAATAAATACCATATATCAGGATGTCACCTAAAAAATTGACACCGTGATCATCCAACCCAAAATGTACAGTAAGCAGTGGTGGTACAGTATGAACATTTTCGTGTGGCTACGACAAATTCGAATCAAAGACAAAAATGAAGCCTCGGGGATGGATTGGCCTAAAAGTCGTACCGTCTTCAACGGGTTCACAAGATGTTCCTCAATATTTTGCATGCTGTCAGCTGTCCTGGAAGGATTGATTTTGAAGTTTGAGTTTAAGTTTAAGTTTGAACGAATTTTTGTAGTTCGTAATCTTTAGCCACTTTCCAGGTTCCCATTTGAAGTCATACTATAGGCTCCCCTTCTAATCAGTACGCTCTAAAAATTGACCGTCTACCGAAAAATGCATGTACTTACAAGGGAAGGGCACGCTCACAGGGTGGAGTTTCGAAAAACGCTCGCGGCTACCCCCGGGTAATCGACTACGGAGAACACGATGCTGCTGTCCGATTTTGCTACGGAGGCCTGTGGACAGAGATACAGCACTTCTGGAAAATGAGGAACCCTGAATAAGGCTTCCCCGCAATGCTACTTTTTCGTATGCAAATCATCATTTTCCGGAAGTGCTGTATCTCTGTCCACAGGCCTCCGTAACAAAATCGGACAGCGGCATCGTGTGCTCCGTAGTCGATTACCCGGGGGTAGCCGCGAGCATTTTTCGAAACTCCACCCTGTGAGCGTGCCCTTCCCTTGTTAGAAGAACGCTAAAAAATGCCATTCGATACAACGACTTCTCGTCAGCAACTCCAGTTTTTCGCAACAGGTGCATTCGCAGGGAGGACGCAAACAATTTAACAGCACCTGGAGCGTCCAGTAGATTTGCGAAGGCTGGTCGAATATCTGTATCGTTTCTCCATATGTCGTAGTCTTTAAAAGCGCCCGTAAAATGGAGAATTCGGTGCAAACGATTGTAACGCATATATCTCTGCATATACTGGCGGCAATGTCTTGCGTATTGGCGGTTTTCGTAATTTTCGTGATTATTCGAGCTACACCGCCAAGATCAGTCGTATATTCGCGGTTATTGATTGTGGTGGAAGTAAGCGATACAAACCTTGACTTCGCCAATAAGTGTCGTAATAATTTTGGGAGGGGGTGATGCTAATCATTAAATGGTGCCAGCCTAGCGAGCCGGGAACTACAGTAGCGGTCAAAAAGATGGTAAAGGTTGCTTAACGGGGGGGCGGGGGCGGGGAAACAAATAAGGGGGTGAAAACAATTTTTGTATTTATAATGAATTACTGCAATTTTGAAAACGCCATCGGATAGAGCGTTGAAAATAATTAAATAATGATACTAAGTTATTTAATTACAGTCCAAAAACTTCATTTTTAACAATTTTTAATTAATTAAATTTTTTAGCCTAATAAAGTACTAATTTTAAATTGTGGACTATGGACTGAAATTAAAACTCTTAGTATAATTTTCGGCACTCTATCCGATGGCACCAATGAAATCCTGGGGCAAAAGCTCAAAACGCCGAAAATGATGATCACATTATGGTTATATTGTCATGGCCAGCCCTGGCCTTTGTTTTTTTAAAAACTAATTTATAATTCATTATCTCGGGCTAAAATTAAATCCCTTAATTTTTTGACGCTCTATCCGATGGCATTCATGAAATCCCGCTAAAACAGCTAAAATACCAAAAATTACGGTCATTTATGGTTATATTTCATGGCCGGCCAACCGTTGCCTTTGTTGCTTTAATAACTAATTTAAATTACATTATTTCAGGCTGAAATTAAATCTCTTGGTAGGGGGGGGGGGGGGGGGGGGGGGGCCCCCCGGCCTGCCCCCCCCCCCCCCCTTTTTTTTTTGCTTGTTTTTTTTTGTGTGGTGGCTTTTCTTTTTTTTTTTTTTTTTTTTTTTTTTTTTTTTCCTCCCCCCCCCCCCCCCCCCCCCTTTCTTTTTTTTTTTTTTTTTTTTTTTTTTTTTTCTTTTTTTTTTTTTATTTTTTTTTTTTTAATTTTTTTTCTTTTATTAAAATTTTTTTTCTTTACCTTTCCCCCCCCCTTTTCTTTCCCCCCCCCCCCCCCCCTTCCCCCCCTTCCCCCCCCCCCCCCCCCCCCCCCCCCCCCCCCCCCTTTTTCCCCCCTCCCCTTTTTTTTTTTTTCCCCCCTTTTCTTTTTTCCCCCCCAATATTTTCCTCCCCCCCCCCCCCCCCCCCCCCCCTCTTTTTTTTTTTTTTTCTTTTTTAAAAAACCTCTTTTCTCCCCCCCCCCTTTCTTTTTTTTTTTTTTTCCGTTTTTCCCCCTCTTTTTTTTTAAATCTTTTTTTTGTCCCCCCCCCCCCCCCCCCCCCCCCCCCCCCCCCCCCCCCCCCCCCCCCCCCCCCTTTTTTTAAAAAAAAAAAAAAAAAAATTTTTTTTTTCAAAATAAAATTTTTTTTTTTAAATTTTTTTTTTTTTAAATTTCCCCCCCCCCCCCCTTTTTTTTTAAAAAAAAAAAAAAATTTTCTCCCACCCCTCTTTCGCGCAACCCTGTTATTTTTTGAGGCTTGATCCGATGGCATGCTTGAATCGGCACAACAGGTCTCTATAGGGAAAAACAGGCTTCCACCCCGCTCCCCCGGTTAAGCAACCTTTACCAAAAATATGTCTCCTCGGGAAATCATTTGGTGTTCGAAAACCACAGGCTGAAAATTTGCTTTGAGTGGTCAAATTTCGGTTTCAAAAAATTTGGTAAAAACAAACCTTTCCTGGGCAATTTTCGGATTTCAAAACCATGTTCATCGTGTTCGGAAGGGCCGAAAACCTATATCTAACATGTTTCAAAACATGAATCCCTTTGAGGCTTAATTTCTCTTTAATCTCAAATTACAGAGGCCTAAAATAAGATTTTAGCGTTTTATAGTGCGCTTTTTTAGTTTTTTTTAGTAGTTTTTTAGTTTTACTGGGACAGCTTTAACAATTTCGATAATCTAAAATCCTTCACTTTTGATGCATTTTGTTTAAAAACCATTAAAAATCAAATTGCGTATGGATTTTCCTAGCTCAAATACAGGGTGTCCCAAAAAAAACCCCCCCCTCGGCATCTGGCCGTCTTCCATCCAATCGGGACCAAATTTTTACCAGTGATGTGGACCCATAAAAACTATGTGCAGCCGAATTTTCTAAGCAAAATATTGTAAAACAAAGAAGATATATCGAAATTAAGGTTTATTTTGCCGATTTCACTAGGATTTTGACGGAATTCGGCCTCGAAATGTTTAGCAAAAATGAAGAGGACACTCTTTTCTACCTGTAGAAATTTTTTGATTTACGAAAATTACGTTTAAATTGGGCCTTTTGATCACTTTTTATTATCGAAATTGCCAGAAACTGACCGAGAAATGACCATTTTTGGAAAATTACTCAAAATCCGCATGCTAATTGCGAAAACATAGCGAAAAACGAGTACCAGCTTTTTCCAAAAAAAATCAGTTTTTTAGCGATAACTTTTTGGTTTTACAATATTTTGCTTAGAAAATTTGGCTGCACATAGTTTTTATGGGTCCCCATCACTGGTAAAGATTTGGCCCCGATCCGATAGAAGACGGCCAAATGCCGAGGGGGGTTTTTTTGGGACACCCTGTACATGACGAAAGCAAATCTGTTAAGTTCAAGCGTTCATTTCAACAGTTTAACTGAAGTCGAAAACCTTTCAGCTAGCCACGCTGCACTCGGTGCTGACATGGGCCTGGTTTGCGCCAAATTTCGTGGTGGCGGGTGTCGAGCATCCCTATTTTTGCAACGAACAGGGTCTATGGTACCGGGCTACCGAGGCGCTACGCTCAATATTTCACTATAGTCCGGACCGCAACCATCAAGTGGCTTTGGTAGGTCTTTTCTGAAAAGAGCTGTTCTACGGATTCAATTTTATAGTTTTCGATTTTTGCGGGTACGCTATTCACTGTGGGATCGATGAGCTCTGCAATATTTTATCGACATCAGGTAATGCGGAAAATTAACGAGGTCCGAATGGTTTTAAGTTATGAAAAGCTTTAGCTGTAGCTTTTAATTAGCTTTACAAAGTCAATTCAGCCACTAAATCAAATTATTGGTCAGAGTGCAGTCCCCCCCCAGGCACCTTCCACCCACCGTATCTCCGCCCGCTGTTCATCAACAAGTATGTACAGTATACCAAAATACTCTCGAGAGCAAGGCAAACATTTTGGTAGACCTTACACACCCATAGATGAACAGCGAGCCAAGATACGTTAGGTGGGGATCGACGGAGGGGTAAACTGCATTTAAGCCAAATTATTTCTTTAATTCGAAGACAAAAATCGCGACTTCAGGCTACAGTCCGCATCGGGTCCATTTTCCACTTATCATATCGTAACAAGGTCCTACTCTGGACTCTCACACCCACGTCAACACTTCTTATGGGAGTTTATTTCGCGACGCTGGCAAAGGTTACGGATCCGGTAGGTAGTGCAACGAACAAAATGTTTTCTAAGCTAATCCTGATTTAAAAATTTGGATAGAATAATCCTGGAGCTAAATTTTGTAGCGTGACCTAAACCCGAGCGCCCCTGAAGACTGGGATTACATTTCGACGTCGCAGGCGCCGTGCGCTACGGTCGATTTATTTCGATTTTCGGTGATTATTTTGTAGGTTTTTTTTTGTTACAACACTGCCGCGCCATAATAATCTGAAATGTTATCATGATATAATTATTATCTCGCATAAAAAAATCAGAAAAAATTTTTGTTACTAAACTAGCGTATACTAAAGTTCAATACTTTTCAGACCAATCTATACGGCCGGGCTAGGTATCCTATTTTTTCTGGTTGGCCATGCCTATTGGCTAATCGTGAACCAGCCAAATATGCATAAAAAATTGCGCGAGCTGTCGCTGGCGTTGTTCTACTCGATGGGCACGCAGGTACTTTTCATGGTGGAAGTTAAACTTCCCGTAACACTTCAGCTCTAGACGTTATTTTACAACGATTTTTCGAAAAGCACTGAATTTTTTGCAAGCTTCGAAGCCATGGAGTTTCGCGTCTGTCTCTCTCTCTCTCTCTCTCTCTCTCTCTCTCTCCCTCTCCCTCTCTCTCTCTCTTTTTGCCTGGATATTTCGCAACTAGATTTAGCTTGAACAAGCGCTTTGATGCATCATGCATCCTTTTTCTGGCATAAAACACCTGCCATACGACTGAATTTGAATTCGTTGATTTCTCAGGCTACAAAATAACTATATTTTATAATCGGTTTCCAAGAACTAGCGTTTCATATTTTAGGACATTAATTTAATGTGAAAGCATACTTTTTTCAGGTCCTCGTCAACGCCGTCCACACCTATCTGCCGCTGCTTGTAATTATATTTTTCTACGTGAGCCCGAAATTTCCGGAAGCTTGTGGGTGAATTTTTCAACTTCAAAAAACATCAAGGTTTAGGGAGATTCGCGCAACTCGTGTATAGCGCGCAATGCGTTAGCTGTTCGGTGATAACCTTGTATACCAGCAAGTACTATCGACGCTACACCATGAAAATTTTCGCCGAGAACTTCTGCTGCGGTAATTTCAATAGTAAGTTCATTTGTTTGATCGTTTTTCGTCTAAATACCGTCTGTAATCCAGTGTTTCTTATTTACTTAATTTATTTTTGTCTTCTATTTCGTTTCATTAATTTTATTTAGCACGGCAGTCGACGATCGGAATCGCTTCGACAACTATGACGAAAGAGCTGGGCAGACGGAATGTTGAGATGCGCAATTCTTCATTCAGACTGAATATACCTTATTTCTGTTAATACGTACGGTGTTGTCGCATGAAAAATATTTATATCGTAGATTAATAAATGCGAGGTGGTCTTTGGGTGTGTATTTTCAAAAGCATGCCGACGTTACTTTAAAACATAATTGAGTAAGCGCTTCTAAGCAATACCAAAGCGCTCCATCGCCTTCCAAATACAAAATACAAGCATATTAAACCGGAATGTAAAAGCTTTCCGGCGTTGGTGACGCGTAGATCCAGTCGTCGACCCTGGAGAGTAACTCCCAGCAGCCCACCCCAGAGTCGTCGCACGGTTTCCCTGGCCTAAAGCGGATTCATTCAGTCTGAATATCACTCGCAGATATCGGCACTTCTCCATCGCTGCGTGCACCGCCGGGGTGCGATAATTCGGCCTCAAGTCGCGAAAAATTTCCCGGATGATTCCGCGGATCCTGGACAGTTCCCCCTCGACCTCCTCCTAGGAACACTTTTGCTAGAGGATGGCTAGGGCACCTCGGAAAAGATTTGCACGTCCGGGTACAGGTCCGTATAGTTCCTGCCGATGAAGTCATTGCGCATGTGTAGGTCCAGAGCCTCATCGGCCGGGATCTTAACGACAAGATAAGCAAGATTTGCGATTTCATTATTTCTAAAAAGCAGCCAAAAAACCGACGTCATTGTTCCTTTTATCGGCGAAAAATTCGGTCGCGTAGTGCACCCATGACACCATCGTGTGTTCGGTGATCCATACGGACTGAATTAAAAACTTCCCTCAACAAAGATGGTCATAACATTTGCCAAATTCACCGATCACGTGCAAGTCAAGAGAAAATAAATGACTTTTTGCGACGCTTTTTACCTTTGGAAATCTCCAGTCATCCACAACGGTTCGTGGCCGCATTCTCAAAGGCTCCAATTCCAAGAACTTTTCGTAATCAAACGGTTCCTGGGCCAGATCCAGCGACAATGGAGTATGGGGGAAACTGAATCCACCTAACAACGACTGCTTGTTTTATAAAAAAGCTTTTTTACCAAGATCTGAAGCATTCCGCGACCAGCTTTCTAATAACTCGTACAGCGTCCAGTTACGATCCCTGAAATCGTTGAGACTGAAGACTCAACGTTATTTTCTGTATTTTAGAAGCAAAGCAAAGAGTTTTAGAGTATAGTTAGTTTTACAAAACTGATTAACCAACTGGGGTACAGAAGTCTCATCTA